GTTCAGTGTCCATTATAGATCTTTTTCCTTGCCAGACCTATTCTTTGTTCCTGACCTCCTTGTTCTGCATCCTGCTTGGCTGCTTAGCCCCTGCTATATTAACTAGACTTTCTGGATTTGCTACCTTATCCACTTAGATCTTAAATCTGCCTCTTCTGACTTATGAAGTTCGATTCCAAGTTTTCACTCTTTCTAGCCAGTTCTCTCTTGTCATCCTCTGTTAAGACTTTCTGGGAACTTTTCACAAAACCTACCTGGAATTAAATTATATTTGCTTGGCCATTGTGCACATTAGTATAAATCGTGGATGTTAAGAAAATACCCACTTTACCCTCCCAACTCCCTTGACTCCAAGCCCACTCAGTTTGAATCATCTGAGAAGTTTCTCGACACCGCTGCCTGGATTTTTACATCCTCTGCTGGTTTTTACATCTTCTGCTTGACCTGTTTTGATCACAGTTCAAGGTCCAATCTAAAGTTGCTAGTACCTAGAAAATGCTTCATCCTGGGTCATGCTGGAAAGAGTAGTTGGGTTTTGTTTTTAACTCTGACTCTTCCAGTTCTTCATATGCTCTGAGGAACAGATGGTATATGACTTGGCCACAACTAAAGTATGAGTCCACTGGAACTCATGGAGGGCTAGGGAATTCCCTTGTAAGCCAAGGCCATTTTCATCTTATTAACATTCCCATTTGTGCCATGAACTTTAGGATTATCTGGGTTCTGCATTTTCCCCATGACCCTCTAGGCTGATTGCCTTTTTCTCTCACAGGCTATAGAGTTCATCTGAATTGCAGGGGCCTCAGATCCTTATCTGTAGGAACTATAATACCAGAGAAAAAAGCTTAGTAGTCATGAGGACTAAAACACCAGCAGAGAGGTAGCATGGAATCTGGTCCATTGACCTAAAACTTGGTCAGCTTATGGTGTAGCATTTTTATGTGATTTAATTCTGTAGTAAATTTACAGCCTAGGCCCCCTAGAAGAGCAGAGAAAAAGAAATGGCACCTACACTCTGAAGATTCAGTCTGCCACTTACATTCCTGGCCAGGCACAGTGTCTATGTAACAGAGGGCCCTTCCTCCCTCCCTCCTTCCCTCCTTCCCTCCTCCTTTAAAGCAAATTCAACAAGTTATGCTACAGGGCATATTTGCTGAACTGTGGCTGAGAAACCTCCAACTAGAACCATTAGGCAGAACAACCTCAAGCTTCACTTGGCATTGCTCTTATATTCTAGAAAGACCTAAGATCCTTTGCAGGGTCTTGGACTTGGCTCTCTATCATTATCAAGGCTTTGTAGCACAGTACTGGGGTTGTTGAAAGGCACTATGAAGAACATGTGTTACTGTGCTTGGCCTTCCAACCCAGGTCTGAAAAGTTTCTGTTAGACCTTATGGCAGCAGCCACCGCCATACTCCTTCCCAGCTGACCTGAACAGTTTTTCTCTGAATGTGATCACAAACTTTTCTCTGCCTTGTAATCACATTTTTATCTTTATTTTGTCAGTATATTCACTATACTGCTCCTTTTATCCCTGCACAGATGGTGTGAATACCCTCAAGATTATAAAGCCACAGTTAGATCGTGTTGCTCATTCACATAGCCTCTCGTGATACCTTTTTGGATTGGAATCCTAGGTTCTCATTCTGATTTTTGCATTATTTTCACCCTCTTGCTCCCAGACTGGTATCTTGGAGAAGGTGGGCCAGGCATTCAAGTAGTGGGCCTACCAGAACCCTAGCAGAGCTACTAATGTCCCTCCACAACAAGTTTGGTTACAAATCAGGCTTCCTACTTGCAGACATTTTGATAGACTGTAACCTAAGAAGATCACCTTGTGCCTGAAAGAGAAAATACCTCCAAATAGACCTCCTGTTTTATATCCTAACTCAGGGGAAAGGCTTACCAGTTATTTTATAGCTATTCTCCAGCTCCACGATACCAGCCTCCACACCCTAGGAAACTTAAAGCATGAAGCTCTGCTCTGATGTTATGATGATTAGCTGCTAACATAGTTCCCCCTTGTCTGTTGGCCTAAGACTCAGTATTCTCTGGTATGGTCATTAATGGCCATTTCCCAGCCATTCTGAAATTGGAGGTTTTTCCCACTTACCCTTTGTAGACACTTAATTCACTCTGTCTGCCTGAAGCCCTGTAGCCCTTGTCATTCCTAAAGTACTTTTGCTGATGTAGATTCAAGTGCCATAGCACTCATTCAGTAGTTCGTTGCACTTGCCAATCCTTCATTGTAAGTTTGGTAGGAACAAGGGCTTTCCCTCCCTTGCCATTGTATCTTCAAGTTTTAAAACCATGTCAAGCATTCAGTGGGCACTCAGATAGTTGCTGACTAAGTAAATGTGGGCACGTAAATAGGATCTGTGCCCTATTTGCCCTTAGACTCGTCTGCCTGCTCCCTGGTTTTTGACCCCTTGTCTAACTAGACCTGTACTATCTTGTCTCTTCTATCCTACCTTCTCATGTCACTTCTGAACAACCTGATAAACTAACGTGTTTATTTACATGCTGATTGCAAATGACTGGAGGTAAAATAATCATTGCTTTATCCCCTCATTGTACTGAAGGCCGAGGGAGATCAAGTGATTGGTCAGGATTATAAAGCAAATCTGTATGCCTGCTAAGTGCTACACTTGTCCTATCCCTTGGCAGATTTACATCTTCGGTTGGATGTGGCAGCTAAACATTATCCAGAAGCCTCTTTAAATTCTTGCCCATGCCCATGTTTCCTAAGCACCCAGAGTCAGTCTAATAGCATTTCTCAGCTCCATCCCCCACCGCCCCCACCACCACTTTATTCTTGGAATAAAGAATTTTAGATTAGGGAGTATCAAGCTGATTTTGAACTCCCAGCATTGTCATTTGTGTAGAGTGAGAGATGAGCAGAGCCTTGGGATATGCATCCATTTAAGGAATGGAGGGGTGAGAGGACTATAGCTTAAAAAGGTTAAATTTGGGCATTCTTTTAAGTTGAGGTGGAAGTGGGCATTGGGGCAGGCAGAGAAGGACCCAGGGGGTTGGGCAGAATAAAGATGCAAGAAAGAGGTACGGAAAATAGTTTCTCTATAAAAGCAGAAGGGCTTTGAGCTTGAAGTACGAAACTTCAACAAGGAGTAAAGAAGAGAAATATGGAGACATATTAGTAAGGAGAAGAAGAAAGTTGAGACAACTTGTGTCCCAGGAAGAAAGCAAGGCCCCTGCAAAAATGAGGCGGCACAGAGGGACAGAGGGACTTCAGGCATGAGGAGGTGGGAAGAATTTGAAGAACGAAGTAACCATCCTAGGAGATAACGGGACTCTCCTGAGGACGAGTGCAGGGTTGGTGGAGCAGCAGTGATGGTCCCACCAAGTGGGATAGCATAAGCTGAGACCAGGCTGCCAAGTTTGGTGACTTCCATGGTAGTATCAGTGGTTTGAGATCTGAAGCAGTGATATGTGGTGGGAGGACAGTAAAATGGGGAATCTGTCTACTAAGTAGAGTGTCTGCGCAAGAGCATACAGTAGAGTAGGTAACCAGGAGCTGAGAAACTAGAAGACCATGAAGACAGGGTGAAAAATGTAAAGTTAAGGGTGAGATTTAGGTTTGGTCTGGGGAGAGGAGTCAATATGGAAGTTTTCTTATGTCAATTTGGAACCTGCAAATCACTAAATAAAAATGACCATCCCTACCCTATAGCTAAAGCATGGCTCCACGTTCTTAATAGTTGATATTTTTCTCCCCATCAACACTGTGTTTTCTCTTCCCATTTGGCTTGAACATCTGAAGATTTCCCACCCTCTTCTGTTCTGAAGTCAGCCTTCTAACTCCTGTCATTTTAGTCTAGGTCCAGGGATCCTCAGCCATGACTGCACACTGGATTCTACCTGAGGAGCTTTAAAAAAAAAAAAAAATACGGGTGCTGGAGCCCCATTCCACAGTCTGATTTAATTGACCTGAGATTTTTTTTTTTTAAGCTCCCCAGGTGATCTTCCCATGTGTTCTCCCAGCCACGCGCTTTCCAGGTGTAATGACTCCCATTAACATGTCACTCATGTTGGCACCTACCTTGTGAACACAGGCATACTTCTCTAACCAGGGCCATATTACAGGCATGACTAAGACCCTGGAGTCAGATTGTGCCTGGGTTCCTCTCTGCTTTGTGATCCCAGGCAAGCTCTGTATCATCTAGAACCTTCACTGATGAGAGTAATAATAATGCCTGCAAAAGGGTTAAATCAGATAATGTAATATGCGTATTAGCACAATGCCCAGCACGTAGATGTACTTAACCAATGTTAGTTGTTTTTGTTGATATTTTGGTTGCGATTGTATCAGCATTTTTTTCTAATATGTGGTTTTTCCATAGGACTGCACAAGTTAAGTTTAATTTCTTCCACACAGTTTTTATTTTGTATCTGTACATTGCTTAATGAAGGAAAATTGTAGGCTATCTTGTTTTTAAACTTTTTGATTGTAGTGATTATATGTAACAGGACTTAGTGTTACAGTAAAAAGATGGCAAGGGTTACTTTTCTAAATATTTAGCTTAGTTTCCATTTGCTTAGTAAGAAAGTAGCCACAGGGTGGCTCTGTCAGAAACCCACAGATTTCATAAGGAGCTGAGTGTGGACTATGATTTTCCTAGAATCTCACTCTGGCAGGAACCTGCCCAATGATGATTCAGTTGTATCTTTTGCTCTGTCTCAATACTGTTTATGTAATACCTCTGCAATATTTGTGCCATATAGTTATTGTTTCAATTATTTTTAAAAATAAAGAAACATAATCTGCCCTTCATGCCCATCATTCAGTCTGGCAGGTCCTTAGTGGGTAGGCCTTCCTTTCTGATGAGCTGCTTGCCTCCACCACAAAATGATGGTTCCGGAGGTAAAAACTCTTGTTAAAAACATTAACTTCTAATGGATATTAACATACTTGCATTTACAAGCAGTGAAATTTGTCCTCTTCGTGTTGTTATTTATGCAGCATTAACCTTTTTCTCCAGATCATTGAGACTGAAAATATGATGGACCGAATTGTGACTGGCTTGTCTGAGTCTAGTGTCAAGGTGCGGTTAGCTGCCGTCAGGTATGAGCTTTAAATGGTCTGAATAAAAACCCTTTGCCGTGTGTTTAACCTGTTTCCTTTCCGGACCTTCAGCAAGTAAGCGCAGAATCCAAATGTTACTCGAAAGTATTCTCAGGTGAATTCTTACATCACTTACCAGGGAAGCTAGCCTGAAAAGCCCATGAAGCCCTGAAGTAGTTGAATTAACAATGTCTATAGATATACTTGAAGTGCTTATTAGTATTTATTGAAATGCCAAGCAGTGTCTTTGAAAAGTAAAAGTTTTGGCTTCTTTTGAAGCTAATTTTGATTATTCTTTGTAGATGTTTGCACAGTTTATCTAGATCTGTGCAGCAGCTTCGAACCAGTTTCCAGGATCATGCTGTGTGGAAACCTTTAATGAAGGTAAGAAGAAAAGCAGCAAGTAGCACCCATTCCCACAAAGCCTTTATAGTGAGCCAAGGTAGCTAACAGAACTCCTAGGTCCAGCAGTATGGCTGGGTTTTGTGTGAAGAATTTTGAATATTTGTCTCCTCAGATATGATGTTCTAAAGCATCTTTAGATCTACAGAACGTGTTTCCAAGGTCAAGCATCTCAAGTGTGACATGGAAGCAGTTGCCCAGTTTTCTTTTATTCAGTAAAACTTGAGTTACTTATCTGATCTCCCTGTGTGTTTGGTATTACACTTTAGACTTCATCCACAGTCTTTGTAGTTTTTAGTTATAAAAAAAGGAAAAGAATCAGTCATTGAGAGGTATAACCTCTTCTTAACCTTTTGGCAATCCCTAGTTTTGTTTTGTTTTGTTTTGTTTTTTAACCACAGTGTCATCTCGTATGTCTCTACACCGAAATAACTTCTTTGGTCTTATGTCTTTCCTTCAGGACCAAAAAAAAAAAAAAAAATGGTGTGGGTTAAATAAATCTGAATCAAAACTTAGATGAGGCTGTAGGTTGCTGCTAATGATATCACCCTTTTTGTGCAGAGCCTTTCAGTTGATAAGGGCCAGGATAAATTAGACCATAGATAGAGTAGTCCTTTAAGAAGCTTAAATTTGTTGCTAGAAAAGGAGATTGGTATAGCTGCACAAAGAACTTGAATAGTGGACAGCAATAAGGCTCCTAGGAGAGGTCACAAACAAAGGCTGTGGATATTCAAAGGAGGATAGAGTGACTTCTGCCTGGAAGGGCTTCAAGGAGGCTTCTGGAATGAGGATGGCTTTAAAAAATGGGTAGGGTATGTACCTGAGGGGTAAAGGAAAGGTGTGGCAAGGGAAGGGAAGGGAAGGATTATTGATCTCACAGGGAGTTGTGGCAGACACAGAGATCAGGATGCAAAGCATATAGATTTGATCTTCATTAACTAGCTAACAGTTTACAGGAGAGTTAAAATGCATTATCTTAAGACAACTATTTTTATTTTGTAATTCTTGCTTATTCTAGGGAATTTCAGACTTGATTTAGATGAAGAAAGCATTATAAATAATATATTTAACCCTGAAGGTTTTTGTGATGATCCACTTCCAGTTTGCATAACAAGAGCTTCTAAGATTGCGTTAGGGATCATCAATCTGATCTGATCCCAAATGCAAAAGGATTCAGTTGAAGGGGATATTGCATATAAGCGAGGTGGTTTTTATCAAATCTTCACTCTTAGAATCTAGAAACACCAGGTTCTAATAATAGCTAATGGTGACTAACATTTGTCATTATGCTATGTTGCATGAGTCCATGGCAATTAGTTTGCTATGTACCTACTATGTGCTTGATGATAACGACAATTATGACAATAAATTAGCTTTTTAAAAACTTGTATAGCTATTACTGTGTGCCAGTTACTGTTCTAAAATCTTTTCATATATTAATTCTCAGAACAATACCATCATCCCCATTTTATAGCTAGGGAATTCATAAACTTATTTAGTGTTTGAGCTGAAATTTGCATTCAGGCAGCCTGTGTTCTTTACTCCCATTTTGTGTTGCTTCCCTCAACATTGACCGTATCACATTTAATCTTAAAAAGGCCTATCAAGGAAGTACTGTTTTTCTCAATTCAAAGACTCAGAGAGGTTAAGAAATATGGTCAAGTTCCATATCTAATATGTGGAGAGAAGGGGGTATGGAACCAGGGCTCAGTCTTAAAAACCAGTCCCCACATTGCCCTACCTGTGTAGTAGCTTGATTCATCCATGCTTTTGGTAAAAAAAAAGTTCTTCTAGAGGCAAACACATCAGAACATTTCAGGCTCTGGGGCAATTTTGTGGTTTCAGAAATGGGGTGATATAATGGAGTAAATTGAACTAACTCGTTCCAAAGCAGTCCCATGATGTTCACACTTTTCATATAGTGCGCCCCCTCCCTGACTTATGTGTTTATCTCTTTCTGTGCAGCACTTCCCATCCTGGCAGTGGGGCTGGAGCTTCTCCAGCAAGATAGGTGTGAGGGCCTTAGTCATAATTAGAGCACCAGGTAAAGTTTGACACAGTATCAAATGGATACTAATCAATATGAAAAGTCAAGGTGAAAGATAAATTGTTTTTGGTTCTCATTTGTTCTCATGATCTCAACTCCCTCATTCCAAACCATTAATAGCATCCCTTTTTTTAAATTCCGTAGGTTTTACAAAATGCACCAGATGAAATCCTAGTAGTAGCATCTTCCATGCTATGTAACCTTCTTCTTGAATTTTCTCCAAGCAAAGAGGTTCGTATTGATTTTCTCGTCCTAGACTTAGCTCAGTCTACCTAGAGCTTAGTTAAATAATTTGTACAGTAGTTGACTTTGAAATTTCACGATTGAGGTTTAAAAACTACTGGGAACACCTCAGTGGCTCAGTCAGTTAAGTGTCTGACTCTTGATTTCGGCTCATGTCATGATCCAGCCTGGTCATGGGATCCAGCCTGGTGTCGGGCTCCACACTCATCAGGGGTCTGCTTGAGATTCTCCTTCACCCCCTGCCCCTGTTCATTCTCTGAATGAATGAATGAATGAATGAATGAATAAATAAATAAATAAATAATAAATATTTTTTAAAAAAACCTACCTCTAAATTGGGGACGTAAATAAGATCATTTTTAAATGCAGTTTAATTTCTTAGTCTCCCTTTTCTGCCTGGCATGTGCAGCTTATTTGGAAGATACGGTAGCTTATAGTTCATCTAAACTGCCTGCAACTACAAATGTAATTACAAAAGTAATAGACTATTTTCAAACTATATATACTAAAGAATAAATTAAGGCTCAGTTTTGTAAACCAGAATCGTAAATCATTTGAGGGCTATAATGCTGGCATTGGAAAATAATTGTTTGACTTTTTTTGAGAGAGAGAGAGAGAGAGAGAGAGATTGAGAATTTTAAGCTCCATGCTGATCACAGACACCAACATGGGGCTCAGTCATAACAACCCCGAGATCATGACCTGAGGTGAAATTGAGAGTCGAATGCTTAACTGACTGAGCCACCCAGACACCCCAGGAAAATCCTTTTAATGTTTAATGTTAATGGTAGTTGTTTGGGGAGGGATTGCATATGGGAATACTTTTTCCCTTTTATACATTTTATAAATTATTTGAACATGTATTGTTTTTATACTAGGGAAAACTACAATAAGGTTTAATAAAGCTTAAATAAAATCTTATTTAGTTAAGATTAGTTTCATCATGTTAGTTTTATCATGTTAAAATATCTCTGGTCTGCCCAATTGTGAGCTGAGGTTTAGACACTATCCTTTATTTAGTAGTTCCATTTTTGTTGAATTTCCTTCCAGTAACACCTATAGGCTTCTAACTAGCATTTAGTAACAAGGTGGAGGTTCAGAGATAGTTACTCAATAAGCAGAAATCCTGGAACAAAAGGAGGGGAGAGACTGGTAGTTACTCTGAAGGAAGAAAAAGTTAAACAGGATGCCAGAGTTTCCATCTGTTTTCCTCTGCTTTTATGGTGGGAGTCTTGGCATGATGATGATCTGGTTGCAGTTAGTACAATACCATTAATCATCCTGAACAGTTCTTATGTTGCCTCAGATCTTCCTTTAGCATACATAGATAGAGTTTGGTTAGAAGTAAGGTAAATGAGCTAAGGCATAGGATCATTAATACGATTGATTTTTTAAAAAGATTTATTTTTATTTATTTATGATAGACATAGAGAGAGAGAGAGAGAGAGGCAGAGACACAGGCAGAGGGAGAAGCAGGCCCATGCCAGGAGCCCGACACAGAACTCGTCCCGGGACTCCAGGATCGTGCGCCCTAGGCCAAAGGCAGGCGCAAAACCACTGAGCCACCCAGGGAGCCCCGATTGATTTTTTTTATATTGAAAATAAATTGGATCCTGAACTGGAATGGAAAGAAATGCTATAAAAACATTTATTAGGCCAGTTGACAAAATTGGCATATGTGCTATAGATATGATAAAAGTATTGTTTTTTTGTTTTGTTTTTTTAAAGATTTTATTTATTTACTCAAGAGAGACAGGGAGAGAGGGAGAAGCAGAGACATAGGGAACCTGATGTGGCACTCGATCCCAGGACTCCAGGATCACACCCCAGGCGAAAGGCAGGCACCAAACTGCTGAGCCACCCAGGGATCCCCTAAAAGTATTGTTTTAATGTTAACCTCTCTGAAGTTGGTAACTGTTCTGTGATTCTAAGAGAAATGTCCTTGTTCTTAGGAAATACATTGAAGTATGAAGTATGAAGGGTAAAGGGACATGATGTATATGCTCTACTTTTAAATGATTCAGAAAAAGATGAATAATGTGGATATGGGCATACAGGAGAGAGATAATGATAAAGCAAATATGGCAAAAATGTTTAAAATTGTTGAATCTGGGAGAATATGTGGAAGTACCTTATATTATTCTTGCTACTTCATAAGTTTGAACTTAACTTCAAAACAACAACAACAAAAAAAAAAACAGGGCGCCTGAGTGCCTCAGTCGGTTAAGCTTCTGCCTTCAGCTCAGGTCATGATCCCAGGGTCCTGAAATCAAGACTGCATCAAGCTCCCTGCTCAGTGGAGAGCCTGCTTCTCCCTCTCACTCTGTAGTTCCCCCTTCTTGTGTGCTTTCACACACATGCTCTCTCTCTCTCTGTAAATAGATAAATAAAATCTTTTTTAAAAAATAAATGCAAATAAAAAAAAAAACAGGAGATAGGGAGGTGGGTAAAACCGACAAAAAGGAAGAAGGAGATACAGACTTCCAGTTATAGAATGAGTAAGTCTTGGGAATAGCAAGGATTGTAATAGCATTGTATGGTGATATGATACTATACTTCTGGTAAGCATAACGTAATGTGTAAACTTGTCAAATCATGTCATACATCTGAAAATAATGTAACCTTGTGTGTCAACTTACTAAAAAAATTTTTAAAAAGAAATAAAACCAATTTGTACACATAGAGGAACGTGTATCTTTCTTCAGAGTGTCATCTTGAAAGTCACTGTCCTTTTTCTTCTTATGTATATCTGAATTGCTTAAGACAATTGTAGAATCCACTTGAAAGGAGATCTTTTAAGCACTCATTGGTGACAGTAGATCAGTCCGCAAAGGTGCGGATTTTTTAGAAATTATCAAAGTCTGTTTTCAGCCAAGGATCATAAATAAAGGAGTGGTCAGGCTAACGCATGCTATTTTAGGTGTAGTGTGTGATGTGACTCTAAAAGTATACAACTGTTTTGCTTATACGATAGGTAGTCCTGAAAGTAGTTCTAAAAGATGTGTTCTGCAGCATGTTTGGAATAACATTGACAGTTTGGAAAGAAGCTAGTTTGGTTAATGTAAGTTCCATGTAAACCAACCATGTTGTCATAGTCCCAGCTTATAAAGAAAACACATGGAATACACACGTGCACTACCCAGGGAGTGAATGTCTCAAAGGACGGTGAGAATGAGAGTGTGGAATTAGATACTTTAATCATAAGGGCATGTGCAGAATGTGCAGAGATTAGGACAACTCCTGAGTCTTTCAGAGCTACAAAGAAAAGAGAAATGATGAACTATTTTGGTTTTTGAATTTGTGAGAGACTAATTGTTCTTGCCCTTCTCATGGTAGTTTTTGTGTCTGCCTCACTCACTGCTTTGTGAAAGTTACTTGGAGTTGGGTAAAAGTAGGAAGGAAATAATAGATTGTCAGGGTATATGCACATTAGTCACAAACCTGACTTTAAAACTGTGCTCTTTTTCCTTTCCAATCACAGCCAATTTTAGAGTCTGGAGCTGTAGAACTACTTTGTGGATTAACCCAAAGTGAAAATCCCGCTTTGCGAGTAAATGGAATTTGGGCGTTAATGGTATGTTTCACTCTTTTATATAAATCGTCATTTGTAAATAGAATGGAGGTGTTCTCAAAGGTAAAACTAAAGAATGTGTTATTTGAAATGTCCGAAATTTGCTTTTTGAAAAATCTTTCTATTTTGGCCCAGTTTTCTAATGATCTCAGACTTGAAGACTTAGTATTCAGCTTCTGGATTTGAATATAATCAAGTTGCACAGCTACAGTTCTCCTGTTTATTATTAGGAAAAGCGGACAGATATTAAAGTTGGACATCTAACTTGGAAAAAATACTTTTTCCTCGTCATGAATATATTGATAACCTGCCTAGAACTACTTGCTTGACAGAGCCTTTTCATGTCTCCTGTGCTCTTTATAATTCTGAAATAAGCTGGGGGGGGGGGGTGTTCATATTTTACAGATGAGTATACTGAGCACAGAGTGATTAAATAACTTGCCCAAGGCAACAGAATGATGCATAATTGCTTAATAACTTCTTGATAATTTCAAATAAATAATATATAATAATCTAAATTATAAAATGTAACTATGAAGTCAAAACTACATAACTTAAGATTTATTAAAATATATTGAAATTAAAATTTACATGGATTTCTTCAAATATAATTATAGTAGTTATAATTTAATTACTGTGTACCAGACACTGAGCAATGTTTGTATCTCTAGTTGTTATCACTAATACTTATTTTAAGTTATATTGGTTTATATCCACCTCACAATTAGGAACCTGGGTCTTGGAGGGTAAATGAATCATCCAAGGTGTCACACCTAATGAGTGGTGACAGTGGGTTCTGAACCTGTTTTAAATATATATTCTTTTCTCTGTTCTGTGTGTATTTGCTGTCTTTTCACACAAAATTTGGGATAGAAATACTCTTCTTCTAAGAAAGCACTGAATCCACTAGTTTGTTATCTTTCTCCTAAACTTTGAATCAGCTTTTAGTACTTCTCTTTCTTGAAGCTCTTTCCCAGGACTTTTTTTTTTTTTTTTTAACCTTACTTTCTACCTAACCCCCCTTTGCAACCTCCTTCTCAGGAAACCCAGTTTCAATTCCCAGTTTCCAATTCCCTTTATATTTCAGTTTCAGGGACTTCATCTACTCACATGGTTTCAGCTCCCCTTAATAGAAGTTACTTTGAGAAATATACATACCCACACATAATTGTCCCCTGTTCCCCAGGTCTATCACTTAAATGGCCTATGAGACTTCATTTGAAGCCTCCCTGACATGTACAATTTTAAAGTTAAAAATTGAATTTAGGGATCCCTGGGTGGCGCAGCGGTTTGGCGCCTGCCTTTGGCCCAGGGCCCGATCCTGGAGACCCGGGATCGAATCCCACATCAGGCTCCTGGTTCATGGAGCCTGCTTCTCCCTCTGCCTGTGTCTCTGCCTCTCTCTCTGTGTGTGTGTGACTATCATAAATAAATAAAAATTTTTAAAAAAATTTAAAAACATTTTTTGAATTTATTATCCTACTCCTCAAACCCATATTGACTATTTTATTCTCATCAGTCACTGTATAACCAGCTGCTTTCTTCTCTGTCTACCAAGTGTAAAATCCTGGCATCATTTGTGGTTTAGATCTCTTGACACCAGCCCAGTGCTCTTTTTCTCTCTGCCAAACTGCCTCACATCATTAGGTAACTTGATCTTTTGCATGTTTTAGCTCCTAAATTAAAAATAAGCCTGAGGGCACCTGGGTGACCCATCTGTTAAGCGTCCAGCTCTTGATTTTGGCTTAGGTCATGATCTCAGGGTTGTGAGATCAAGCCCCATCTCAAGGCTCCGCGTTCAACGAGGAATCCGCTTGAGATGCTCTCCCTCTCAAATAAATAAATAAGATCTTAAAAAAAAAAAAAGTTCTTGTAAGGCAATATTGATACATTTCTAGTTTACAAGAGATTTTTGTACCAAAAGTTGGTTTATGACTTATTTGGAATTTGCCATGTTTTTCTTTTCTTCAGATGTGTTATTATTAGATTAAGCTGGGGTAATCTATAATGTATCTAGAAAGGAGAAAAAAGGAGCAAAATAGATACCAGCCATCTGAAGTTGCTAGTAGCTTAGATACACTTCCTACCCTTTGGAGAGCTTCCTGTATATAAACTTGCCATATCAACACCTAGTATAGTAGGTGTTTTGGTGCCAGTAAAGTTGACAAAACCCACTACTTATTTTCACCCATAAGGGAGTATTTTTAGTCATTCTCAAAATGGGTGGCACAGTATAGTTATTAGTAATAACTTTGTTATTAAAATACACAGAAGAAGGGGTGCTTGGGTGGCTTAGTGGGTTAAGCATCTGCTCTCTATCTCAGCTCAAAGTCTTGATCTCAGGGTTGTGAGTGCAAGCCTCACATTGGGTTCTATGCTGGGTGTAGAGCCTACTTTAAAAAAAAAAAAAGGGTGCAGGGAGGTAACTTGATAACCAGAAACATTTATGAAAAGTAACCAAGCTCATAGATATAGATAGCAGATCAGTGGTTGCCAGAAGAAGCAGGAGATGGGCGGGTGGGAGAAATCGGTGAACCGTTTTATTGTTTGGGCTTTGGGTTTTTTGTTTTCAGTTTATAAATTGAATAATTTTTTTAAAGAATTGATTTGCATGTCTTCTAATTTTTTGTCAAATCTTAAGACTCTCAAATACCCATGTCAAAAAGTGGTCATATTCCTTATACAGGAGTATATATAGGAATGATAGTTATCTTTTCTTCACAGACAGAATTATAGGTAATTAACAGACATCAGAAAAATAATGTGACTTAAATTTAAAGATTATCTGCAGCTTCTGATTGTACTTTGAGAATTGTCAGTTACTATCAAAATATAATTTAATAAAGAAAATTAAACATGATTTTTGAAGCTTTTTTAATCCTTTCAGAATATGGCATTTCAAGCTGAACAAAAAATAAAAGCAGATATTTTACGAAGCTTGAGTACTGAACAGCTATTCCGGTTATTATCAGATTCAGATTTGAATGTGCTGATGAAGACATTGGGACTTCTTAGAAATCTCCTCTCTACTCGGCCTGTAAGTACAATCATCCAGGTTTCCACATTAGCTGCCCCTGCATATGCAATATAAAACCTTGCCTTCCCTCACTTCTCCCATCAACATCTGCCAGGAAGTGTGATTCAAATGTTGCCCCTTCCCAGAGAAGTGAGAAGTCGATATCTAGACCTGTCACCACCATAAGTGAACTGAGAGCTGCTTCACCATATGAGCTACCTGACCCTCCACTCCCACACTGCTTATTCTGTCTCCCTCTCCTTACTCCATGCTGAATATAAGCTTCCCTTGATTTGTTCCTTTATTTTTACTTAGTTTGCTGGCCAGATGGGTTTTCTTGTCTGCCTCAATTACTTACCCCTGGGGTCTCTGCTTCTTTTCCTTTAGAGAATGCTTCTCAGTGTTAATCCATAGACCAGTTCCCACCCTGCCAACATTTACTGGGTTGACCTCTGAAGATGGCAGTGTGGAGAACAGTGGCTATATGTCAAAGCAGGAGGGACTGAGCCTTTTTCTAGGGTCCCTCTTGTTGTTCCCTAAGCAACAGTGTCAGTGGCCTTCAGGTAGATGAAGAAACATGGGTAGTCCCTTTGCCTCACTTGTTTTCTGAGCCCTCTTTGTACATTTGTGCCCCAGGGTATTAGTAAATCTGTGCCATATTTTCCATATCTTTGGCTTATTCCCTTTCCCCATCCATTTTTAAAGTTTTTCTTTAATGTCTTTGGGCTTGAGGATCCCCAGTGACTGTATTCTTAATCAGGTCAAGTTTATGTCCTTCTTAACATATATATATATAATATACATACACAGACACATATACACACATACACATAGAAGGCAAAACGCAGTTTTCTGCTATAATAAACACTATTCTGTGGCATCTACTTCTATATGCCATGATGTTCTCTTTCAAGCAGTTATTGTTTAACTTTTAGAAGCTTTTTGTTCCTTTCTATGGTCTTTTTCTCTGTTCCCTAGATAATTGTGGATTTCCCATTGTTTTTGCAGCATATAGATAAAATAATGAGTACTCATGGAAAGCAAATTATGCAAGCTGTCACCCTCATTCTGGAAGGCGAACATAACATTGAGGTCAAAGAACAGGTATGTGCCCCCCACCACCACCTCCCTTTTTTTTTTTTTTTTTTTTTTGCTGAGGAGTATCTTCTGAATGTCAATAACAAGAAGGATTTTCATTAGGAGTGTCCTGAAATATTCAAATCTGTGAAAGAGTGTTGAGATGGAAGGTACTATAGAGACAAGAAATATTTGAGAAGAAAGATCCTCTACCACCCCTGAAACTGTCTTCAAGAATTCATCCTCCCAGAATAGAAGAAAATATTACCAGAGTCTATAATTTCACCCTCTTGTGTCATGCACTATATACTGTCCTTGTCCATAGGGATACTGCCTTTGATCATTCCTAGACTGAATCTACTCTCTAGGATTCATCATCTCCAGTTCTCTATATCCACCATATTCTGAACTAAAATTCCTGCAACACCCTGATAAAATAATTGTCTTATGATGGAATCGCTTTTCATTTTTTAACTCTAATGTATCCCTGTACTTTATTCCTATCTCATACTTCTAGTCTCTGTTGTCTTTTAGTAGGGCAGGTTTAGGGTAGGCATAAAAATACAGAGGCTATCACTTTTTTATATTTTCTGGGATTTATTATAGGATTTTTAACATAGGGGCATCCCGGGTAGCTCAGTGATTTAATGCCGCCTTCAACCCAGGGCCTGATCCTGGAGACCAGGGATTGAGTCCCACGTCAGGCTCCCTGCATGGAGCCTGCTTCTCCCTCTGCCTGTGTCTCTGCCTCTCTCTCTCTCTCTCTCTCTCATGAATAAATCGATAAAATCTTAAAAAAAAAAAAAGAATTTTTAACATAGTATATGTTTTGTCGTAAAAAGGAAAGTCACCTACAAATTTAAGTTTCTAATACAAGATCTGAGGCAATGGTAATGTTCAACTTTCTGACATGGATGTTGGCTACATGATGTGTTCACTTTGAAAATTCATTGAGCTATATACTTCTATGTGTGGAGGAAACTTGCCCAAGGTCATCAGTGGAGAGTTGAATCTAGAGTCTGATTTTAGGGCCCATGCTCTGCATTCTCTGTTTTCCTGAGTTAGAGTAATTCTACAGGTTTCAGAAGAACAACCCAGGAAATAAGAGTGGTAGGATATAGGAGCTGTGATTGAATTTGTGAGCAAAAAAGGCAAGAGATTTGACAAGGTGGTTTCAAGATGAACATTTTAGGTGATTTCTCCTAAAATTCAGTAATAATCAAGTTTTCTGATGAACAAAAATTTAACACAGAAAAATGATAATTCATAGGCATTACTAAAACTAGGTTGAACTTGATCCATTACTGATACACAACAAAGAGGAAGATGAATAACTCAAATTATTCTGCCTGAGAGTTCCTGGGTGGCCCAGGTTTGGTCTTGGCTCAGGTTTCAATGTCAGGGTGGTGATTTCAAGCCCCACGGCAGGCTCCATGTCCAGCTATTTTACTTAAACTATTTTACCTAAAGAGCATAGAAAGGCATTTTGTCTATAAAGACAGCGCACCTAGGTAGAATTCCACTAACTTGAGAAGTAAAGCAAGCCGAAAAGGTGAGGCAAGATTTGGATGAGGGCAAAAAGGACCAACAACAGTAATGTGTTCTGGCAGGACTCAAATTATACTCTTTCATACAGATTTTGAGATGGTCTGGAAGTAGGTGGTGATGGGGAGGCTTAAAGTGTCTAGTTGTTAGCTGGAAAAAGAAATAAAAGGCATATAGATTGGGCAGGAAGAAATAAAACTATTCCCAAACAACATGAATGCCTATGTAGAAAATGCCATGGACTCATCAGAAAAAGCTAGAACTCGTCAATGAATTAGCCAAGGCCACAATATAGAAAAATCAATTGTATTTTTAATATACCAGCATGAACAAGAATTTGAAATTTTAAAAACACTACCATTTATAGTAGCTCAAAAAAATGAAATACCATATTAAAATGTCATACATTATCCTTTACATATGTTGTTAGATTTGATTTACTGAAATGTATTAAAGGAAGTATCACATCTGTATTCATGAGAGATCCTAATGTATAGTTTTCTTGTGATGTCCTTGTGTGGTTTTGGTACTGATGTTTGATTATTGGGATAATGCTTGCCTCAGGAAATAAAGGTATTCCCTCCTCAGTTTTCTGTACCTATTTGTAAAGCATTGGTATTCATTCTTTCTTAAATTTTGGTAGAATGTACCAGTGAAGCAATCTGGAACCTTATGTTTCTTTTGTGAAAAGGTGTTTAAGCTAAAAACCATTTATTTTATGGAAATAGGAGTACTCAGGTTATCGATTTCTTTTTGACTAAACTTTGGTATTTTGTGTCCTTCAGGAATTTGTCCATTTCATCTTTTCAAATTTATTAACATGAAATTGTTCATAATACTCTCATCTTTTTAAAGTCTATAGTGTTCTTTGCAGTATCCTCTCTTTTGTTCTTTATATTGGTAATTTCTTTTTTCTTCATCAGTCTGGCTACAGGTTTATCAGCTTTGTTTTTTTGTTGTTGTTGTTGTTTTAATCTTTTCAGAGAAGCAGCTTTTGGTTTCATTGATTATTTTCCCCCACCCTGTTTTGCTTTTCTATTTCTTGATTTCAGGGATTGGCAAACTGTTCCCACAAAGGACAAGATAAATATTTTAAGTTGTGTAGGCCGTTCAGTCTCTGTGGCAACTACTCAGCTGTGCTGTGCTAGCCTGAAAGTAGCTATAGACAATAAACAAATAGACATGGCTATCTTCCAGTAACATTCTACTTACCAAACAGGGAGTGGGTTGGGTTTGGTCCATAGGCCGTAATTTGCCAATCCTTACTCCATCATTAATTTCCAGTTCACATAACTGTGTGAGGGTGGATATGTGTGTGTGTAGCTTTTCTCTATGTTCCCTGCTTATATGTTAAATTGGCTTGGGCCAAGGTTTGTGGGGCTTCAAAACAGAACTGTAGCTCACTCTGCCATGCTGTTCAGGCCTGAGGATGCACGGGTATTCTAAAACTCCAAGAAGGGGAATCACTTGCCTATCTTGATGAACAAGTTTTACTGAGAAGTATTTCATGAAGTCCCCCTCATATTCTGTCTTAGTGGGTAAAAGAGTACAGGTGACTCTTCCCTAGACAAGGCTAAAGAGGTTTGTCACTCCTTCTTCTTCCCAGAAATGCCTACGTCATGAAGCTAGAGTCCAAACCTGTTTATCCCCCTGGCTGTCCCCTCAGTCCTAAGAAATTCAGGGTGTTAAACCTGCCAAGATTTCTAACAGGCTCACATGTACCAGCTCACTTTGAAATCTGGCATCTTCCTCAGGGTGTCTCTCTCCTACATCTGGGGCATATCAAGGTCCCCTGTCATGACTTTAGTGCCCTAGAATGGTCTCCCAGTGCCTACTCAAGCCTTGAATCATACATTGTGTTTTCTATGTCTCCTATATCCCAGAGGCAGCCTTTTTTTTTGTTGTTGTTGTTGTTTAATTTTTATTTATGATAGTCACACAGAGAGAGAGAGAGAGGCAGAGACATAGGCAGAGAGAGAAGCAGGCCCCATGCACCGGGAGCCCGATGTGGGATTTGATCCCGGATCTCCAGGATCGTGCCCTGGGCCAAAGGCAGGCGCCAAACCGCTGCGCCACCCAGGGATCCCTGTTGTTGTTGTTGTTGTTGTTGTTGTTGTTCAAACCTCAGGACTCACCTCCTAATCAGTGTATTAATCTAGGAAGAATAAGACCACACACTCTTTACATCTGAGGCTTTAGGCCATAGTAAGAAAATACTCCTATCAATTAGCTATAATCTGCAAGCTTAATTAGCTTAAGTCTATTAAAAGAAAGGTTAAATTTGGAGAAAATTACTTGAATTTAGACCTCATTCCCACTCCTCATCACTTTGAGTGGTTCCTTACTGTGCTCCAGATCTCAGTGTCGCTTCCTCCAAGAAGCCTTCCCTGACCTTCGCAGCATTAAGCAAGTGCACTTCATGCTTTCTCGGTTCTGTTTTTCCTCTGTCCCACCACAGTGAAATGTAATTGTGCGACCGCTTCAAAGCTAGGTAGTGTGTCTTATTCCTGTCTCACCCTGATGCCCTGCAGAGTGCATGCACATTGTAGGTGCTCAGTAAATGTTTGTGGCTGGCTCGGTATCCTTTCCACTGTCATTTTACCTTACTTTAAACATTGCCCTCCTGTTGGTCTGGCTGTGAAACTCCCAACAACTGACAAAAGAGTCCCTTCCTCCAGTATCAGTGTGGTGATTATCTTCATATTATCTTCATATTCAGTTGGACAGGCTCCCTCCAGTCTCATTAGGTCAAGCTGGACTAAGCTCCTTCACACATTTACCTTACCTTTCTGTTCCTCTGATCAGGTTTTAAAAAGTCAAGAAGTCCTAAATGCATGTGGCTAGTGAACCAAGCTCCAGGCTTTCACCCAGAAGGTCATGAGCTTGGGAGCAAGTAGCATTTGGAGAGGGAGAGAGGGAAGTTGCAGCACCTATGATGCTTCTACCAGAGACTGTGTTTTTGAAGAAATCTTGTTGGGTTAGGAACAAGAGCTTCTCTTAGAAATGAAAATTTCAAGAAAATAACAATTCTCATTTTCCCTTTGATTGATGTGATAGCATGAGCTATAAGACATGGCTGCCTTTACCCAATGATGGATTATGCCCTTATCCCCCCAAAAAACTACTGGTGTTTGGGTTCTCTTTTGCCTAAGGTAGACTTTTGCGAGATGTGGTTACTTTTGTTGCCAGTGATGTCAGGAGATAAGAAATCAGAGCATTCAGAGTAGAACCTATGAGAATCCATGTACTTCAGACAGAAATTGCCCAAGTTCTTGAGAGAGCTTGCGTCTGGGGACTTCAGAGCGTTCCTGATCACCGGCCCTTTGTTCTTTTCCAGACACTGTGCATCCTAGCCAACATAGCAGATGGGACAACAGCAAAAGAACTTATTATGACCAATGACGACATCCTGCAGAAAATCAAGTATTACATGGTAGGCCTTTGTCCCTTTCATTGCTCTCTATTAGCTGCATTAGAAGGCTCAAAACAAATTGTGCAGAGATTAAAAAAGGAATAGACTACTCTGTAACAGATCCAAGGAACTCTTTCATCCTCAAGAAAAACAGACAAGAAGGCCTTGAAGCTTGTGCCATTTTTGGCAGTATTACCACCCATTCATCACCCCATACCCAGCCCTCGTTGTCTCCTGATTGCCTCCTCCTTGGTTGGCAAGTGAAGACTTGGCCTCTTGGTTTTCTTTCAGTGCCTCCAAATCCCTGCCTTCTTCTCAAGGCTTCTATCCAATGTAAATGAGCTTCTTTGGCACCTCTGGCACTTGTTCTTTGATTTGACCTGTTTGCTTGCAAACACAATCTGCTACCTATTTGCAGACACCTCAGCCAATCTACTGCCATGGCCATCCAATGAATATTGTTATCACCAGAAATTGCCCTTTGGCAAATCTGGCAATCATTTCATTCTGTCAGTGTCTCCAAGCAAAATCTTAGTTGTGGGTGAACTTGTCTTCTTTTTGCCTATCAATAACTGCATAGAAAGGCATAGAACCAGGCTGATGGATTTTGTGTTAATTTCTTGTTTACAAAACCCCTGTGGGTTTTGTGATTCTCCATTATGCTGACACCTCCATTCTCCATGAGAATGGGTTCTTCTCCTTCTTTAAACATCACCTTTTTTCTCCCTCATCTCTCTTAGTGGTGACATCACCTTTTGTTTTATTAAGAGAATAGAAGCCATAATCCTTCAGTGGCTCCCTGTTGCACCTTGAATAATAGCCATATCCCTCTGTGATGGCCTGTGAAGTCCTGTATGATATGGGTTACCATATCTCCAACTCCTCTCTTTCCCCTCTTACCTTTGTTCATTACACTGACCTCCTGTTCCTTGAAAATGCCATGCATGTTCTTTCCTGACTTAGGACCTTTGCACATGCAGGCTCATCTGTGTGGAACACTTTTCTCCATGCTCTTTCATGGCTTGCCTTCTCCCCTCTCAGATCTCAGCTCAACTGACACTTCTTTGTGGGCTTTTAATATATATAGATTATTCTTTGTTACTGCGTTCTGTTCCCTTCAGAGCAGTAACTCCATTATAGTGATACATATATGTATATTTGTGTGCCTGAGTGTAAGTTCCATGATGGCAAAGCTCTATGGGTTTTGTGCACATTTTTGTATCTGTCATCTTGGACAATGCATGGCCTTTAGTATGTGCTCAGTAAATAATTGTTGAATGAAAACCTTACTGCTTCAACCAGGAACTCCCTTCTTTCCAATATCAGATCCACATAGCATCTCTAATCTTCTCAAAGTTACTCTTAATTTCTCATATCCACAGAGATACACCTATTTTGTTCTGCTTTTCATAGCCAGACTTCTTAAAAGCATCTTCTGCACATGCTGTCTCCTTCCTTACCTCTAAATTCATTTTAACCCCTTTCATCTGGCCTCCATTCTGATCACTCAACTGAAACTTCTCTGCTTAAGGGAACCATTGACCTCCATGATGCCAAACCCAAAGGACAGTTTTTTCTCCTAATCTCACCTCACTTAGAGCACCCTTCAACACAGATGACCATTTCCTCCTCCTGGAAACATTCTTTTCTCTCCTATATGCTCTCCTGAGCTCTGTGATTTTTGTTGCACAATGACATTTTCTAGGGAAAGAGATGGTTTCAAAGATGGTTGTCTTGTCCCTTTCAAGATTCTGATTTAATAGGTCTGGGTTATAGCCTGGGCATCAGGGTTTTTTAAAGTTCCCCAGGCAGTTTTTATGTACAGCTCAAGTTGAGAACCACTGGTTTAGGAGCATCTCATCAACTCTTATGGCTTTTACTAGCATCTCTGCTTTTTTGGTTTCTGGGTTCTGGTCTAGTAGTCAGTTTTGGTAAATAAAATAGGCATTACAGTTTTTATGCTTTCCATAGTATGAAACCTACAAAACACAACCACAGTAATGATTACTGACCTTCAAAAGCCATGACAATAAGCTTTCATGATGCTACTTTCAGCTCTACAAATGCTGGTTCTTTTCTTAATGGAGGTAAAGGGTAGAGAAGCAAGGTAAGAGAGTCACATGAAGGGTATACCTTCCAGTCCTGTCTTCTGAACCCTGGTCTCCTGTCCTCCTGCTTACTTTACATCTCCTGTCTGATGCTTCCTAAAGTTGATGTTCAAAAATGCCTCCTCTAAACGTAAATTTCTTCTCTCCTCTTCTTTCCCATCTCAGTACAGTGGCTCTGCCATCTATCCTGTTGCTCAAATCTGGGAGTCCATCTTGATTTCTCTAGCTCTTTCACCTCATTAGTCTGATTTAGCAGCAGGTCCTGTCAGCTCTTCCTCCAAACCTAATCTTGATTCTGTTTGTTTCTTTATATTACCACTGCCCTCACCCTGGACCAAGGCATAGCATATCATGTCTGATTGACCCTAATATCCTTCTAGACCCCTCTGCAGTGTCACACAGAATGTAAATCAGATCTTCACCTTCCACTGCTTAAATCCTTCAGGAGCTTCCTGTCAACTCAGAGCAAAATCTAAAGTCCTATTTCTGGCCTACAAGGGCCCACAATTTTCCCTGAACTAATATTGCTCCACTTTGCCTCTCAATATGTGTGAACTCTACAGATACTTCTTACCTCAGACCTTTTCAGGAACCTTCCCTTCCTCTCACCAGGCCGCTCTTTGCACACTTTCTTGTCCTTTAAGTCTCTGCTTAAATGTTGCTTCCTTCAGAAAACTTTTCTGTGCTTTATACCTAAATTATGTTCCCACCCCTCCAACTCTCCAGTTTTCTCCCCAGCAATTTGTTTCCAAAAAAAGATGTATTGAATGAACTTATACATTGCAAAGACTTATTTTTGTACTGTATAATAAGTTCATTTATTTAACAAATACCTATTCATGACCTGAGTCTGAGATATTGATAAGTTTTGTTCTGTTTTGTCTTTGTAGAGGCCAAACTGGGCATCTCTTTCAAAGTCTTGACAGGTGAAAAGAAAAAAGAATCACCAGCCATAGACTTCTAGTGAAAGAAGCCACATCTACTTCTTGTCTCTGCATAGTTGAGATAGTCCTATATGGCAAAAGAAGTCTATCTCATCCTTTAAGAAACTGTTGAGCACATTATGCCACTGATATTTTCCCAGATATGCATTGTATTTAAAAGTACTGGGGAGTTCTTTTAAATTGACCAATAGGAAAATCATCTGTAGATATTGTTTTACTATTGAGTCATCTGTTATGTAGGAGAAAGTACTCTGTATGACTTAAACAAAAGTGGTTGTATTTTCAGTTCGTAAAGAAAAATAAGAATTGTGTTTCAGGAGAATAAGAGGCTCCTTAATAATAGTAACAACATTGGATGAATCAAAGACTCAGGTTTGGGGGGACATATCCCCCCCCATAAGAATCTTTTACTTACTCTTAAGAATAATACTCTTAGAAGAGTAATTTGAATCAGATAATCAATAGCTGAATACCAAAGGCATATTCATCCAATTTGTTGGCCACTGGTGATCTGAAAGTTTCCTGGTATGGATCAAGCATAGCCTAAGTCTAAAGCACAGACCTATGCTATGCCAGTATTTCTGTGTGCATGGATAGAGTGATAATTTGCAAACTACACTTATAGCCTTTAGGTACTTTGTTAGGCCTATCAGAGGGTTTCTAACCTAAACCCCAGTTTACCAGATTTCCCACCATCCTCTTGTCTTTAGCACAACCTGTTCACCCATTATTGCTAACTTTGTGGCCCCTGAGGACAAGTGAGTTTTTGAGGACCCTGCTTCACACTTTTAGCCTATTGGAATTGCCTATGGTATGTTATAAAATAATTCTTCAAATCAGATTACCTCCATATTTTTTTCTTTTTCTGCATCAAATAGGGTCATTCACATGTGAAACTGCAGCTTGCCGCTATGTTTTGTATATCAAACCTCATATGGAATGAAGAGGAAGGTAAGAGATTGGTGAGATTTGTTCTGAGGAAAATTATGGGAGGGAAAGCAGCAGACGCCCCTGAGATCCAAGATGTAGGCATTACTTAGCAGGTCCTGAGCATCCAACCAAGTCACCTTGGTATAAGAGTCCATGGGACTAGCCTGAGTTGGCTGGACAGTTAACAATGAGCTCCACCTTGCAGTTAACAGTGCGGCAGATTTTAGAGGATGGGGGTAAAAGAGACCCTAGAGAAATAAATGGCAGTCCATGCTCTTGGGAGAGCTAAGGAGGAGTTTCAGGGCGGGGGTGGGGTGGGGGGGGGTGGATGTACTTGAAGAAGATAACAGGTGAGTATGGATGGCCAGGTTGGTCTTTGATTGTGTGCAGAGGAGCCACATGGATGGACTACAGGCACATAAGCTTAATGGAGAAGAGGGTGCATTGGTGAGAAATGAGAAATACACTGTGACTACCGAAGCAGCCAGTCTATAAGGTGACCTCTATGGATCAGAGATTCTCCACCTTGACTGCATATTAGAGTCACCTGAGGATTTTTGCACCAGACCAATTTAATCAGAATTTTGGGGGTGAGAGGTTGTAGGCATTTTTTTTTTTAACTCCCCAGGTGATTCCAATGTATAGCCAAGGTAGCAAACAGATGTAAAAGAGCAGTGGTTCTCAGTACTGGGTTGACTGCTTAAGAATCATCTGGGGAACTTTTTAAAATGCAGATTTCTGGTTTTCACACCTAGAGATTTTGGTTCATTGGGTCTTGGGGAGATCAATGCATGGGTGAATCACTGCAGGTTCTTCTCGGGGAGGAAAGACTCCAAGAGTCTTTATTATTTATTATTATTATTCTACCCAGCAGCTGTGTCTAGAACAAAGTAGAAGGAGGAGAAATTGTATTCAACTTAGAGGCCTAGAGACCAAGTACTATCCAGGTGCCAGGGAAACAAAGCCACCCTCAAGTAGGTCCTAGTCTAGTTGGAAGATAGGAAGAGTGGTATGAAGTTGGAACTGCCACATACTAAGAGGCAGCAGGAGTACTGGGAGGTTAAAGGAGGTTGGAGAGAATAGAAGGGGGTAAATAAGACCTGTCTGGAGTAGGAAGAGCCTGGCTTGTTATGTCCAGACAGAAGAGATGAAGATGGGGCCAATGGCAGAGGGCCTTGTGCCCTACTGAGGAATCTGACCTTGACCCTGTAGTCCATGGAGAAATTAATCTATTAGCAGAACCCAGGGTGGACTGCAAGAAGGAAGGTTAAGGAGGAGAGAGACCAGTTAGAACATTGTTGGAGGTTCTGAGAATGAGAGGATCCAACTTCATTGGGGACAGGGGAATAGAAGGGTGGCAGAGTAAAGGACTCTGGTAAAGCTCTAGATTGTTGATCGTATATCAAGCAGAGCAACTGCCTGGGTCATGTTCCCAGTAACCTGATAGCTTTAATCTCCTAGGTTCACAAGAACGCCAGGATAAATTACGGGACATGGGCATTGTAGATATTCTACACAAACTGAGTCAGTCACCAGATTCAAACCTTTGTGACAAGTGAGTATCAAAGTAAAAGGGCCTTGCTTTGGGGTATGTTGGATTCTTTTATGAAAGGGTTTTGCTTGCTTAGTTATTTACATTGCCAAACTTAAAATCTTTTAGATTGTTGAATTCCCTTAACTTCTGTGAGCCAGCTGTGTGACTTGAGTTAGAGATAAGCTAATTAGCAAATTATTAAAGATTCTCATCTTGCTTTGAGTTAACATGAACCTAAGCCATCTTAGTGTATATCTGAAGAGGATCCAGGGATCATTTTCTTGACATTTAAGTAAAAAGGAAGGCCAACAATAAAAACATCCGTTATCTCAAAATTTCTCACTGAGCACTTGCCTTGTGCCACCTGGCCTGGCTGCTGAGAATACGGCAGTGACCACTGAGAGGTTCTTGTCCTTACCATTTACTGGGAGAGGCAAGAATCATAATCAGAGATTCTTCTACCCTCTGAATGGCTAAAACTGTTCTTCCTAGCTGTGTACACGCCCTCCTACCATAGCCTTCCCTCTATAGCTCAGTCTCAAGGTCCCCTCCCCCTCTACCCTGCTTCCTGCTCCAGGCACACCTGCCTCTTGCAGTATCACATCTTCATGCATTTATACATTCTGTTCCTTTTGATTTGCCATCCCAGTCCCCTCTCTGAATTCCCTCATTCACTCAGCAGGATATATATATTTTTAATAATAACCTTTATCAGGCACTGTTCTAGGCATTGGAGATAAAATGATGAATAAAATTGATGAAGTCCTTGCCTTTGTGAAAGTTAAGGTCTAGTACAGGAGACAGTGATAAATGAATATGTAATATGGTAGCAGATAATGAGAGGTATTATGAAGAAAAAGAAAAAGATGAAGAAATGAAGAATAAGTTTCTTCTCATACAACTGACAAATAAAGGCCTTGACCAGTAAAGGTCTCTGCAGAAGTGACATTTGATCAAAGTCCTGGATGAAATGAGATAGTTCGCCAGGCAGATGTTCAGAAGAAGAGTATTCCAGGCAGATAGGACAGTGAGTGCAAGGCTCTGAGACAGGAATGAGCTTGGCATGTTCAGGGAAACAACAGGAAGACCAGTAGAGCTGCAAAAAAGTAAATGAGGGGTAGGGCGGTAATAAGTGGACTCCAGGGGGCAATGGAGAGCAAGTGAAATGTCTTGTAGGCCATAGTAAGGACTTCGGATTTTATTCAGAGTTTAATAAGTCATTGGAGAGTTTTGAGCAGAGACCCTGTCTGACTTGGATTTGTGCCAAATCACTCTGGTGGCTGTGTAGAGAATCACCTGCGCAAGAATGGAAGCAGGAAGAGCAGGTCAAGGCTATTACAGTCATACAGGTAAGAGATGAGGGTCGTAGTGGTAGAGGTATTGAGGTCAGATTCATGATTTAATCTAAAGATAGAGACAATAGGATTTGCTCGGGGATTTAATGTGTAGGATGTTAAAGAGAAGAAAGGAAAATGCCTAGAGTTTTAGCCTGAGCAACTGGATTGGGTGTTGCCATTTACTAAGATAATGAGGAATACAGGAAAAGTGGGTTGGGGTAGGGAGAATCAAGGGTTCTTCTTTGGACATGCCAAATTTCGGATACTATTAAATATTCAAGGGACTTCTCAGGATAGTGGGGCTGAGGGTATAAACTAGGATGGTATATAAAGCTATGGAACTGGATGAAGTCACCTAAGGAAAGTAAGAGAGAGGAAAGAAGACAGGAGGGCTAAGGACTATGCTCTGGCGCCCTCCAGCATTTAGGGGAAAGTGAAAAAGATCTAGCAAAGGAAATGAAAAAACAACCGGTAAGGCAGGGAGAGACCGAGGCACAGGAGATGTCCTGAAAGCAAGGGAAGAGAATGCCTGAACATTAGCCATTTATCCTTCAAAACTCAGACCAGGGGGATCCCTGGTGGCTCAGCAGTTTGGCGCCTGCCTTCAGCCCAGGGCGTGATCCTGAAGTCCCGGGATCGAGTCCCACATCAAACTCCCTGCATGGAGCCTGCTTCTCCCTCTGCCTGTGTCTCTGCCTCTCTCTCTCCCTCCCTCCCTCTCTCTTTCTCTCTCTCTCTCTCTCTCTCTCTGTGTGTGTGTGTCTCTCATGAATAAATAAATAAAATCTTAAAAAAAAAATCAGATCAGGTGTCACCTTCTCCAAAAGGTCTTGCCTGATTCATTCATTCTCCACCCTAGGCTTTGTCAGGAGACCCCTTCTGCCAGGGACTTCTGTGGCACCCATAGGACATACCACACTGTGTCACGGCTGTCAGCTCACTCGTCTGCCCCACTGAAGGGAAAAGGCACTAGGTAATTGCTCCTCAAGTAAATGGCTCTGCCAGATTCTGGAGCACATAGAGCGGGCTGGGCCTCTGCCACAGTGAAGCTGGCCATCCAGTGGGTTAAAAAAGACAAATCCCCCAAATAATTGCAGCCCAGGGCTGCTGCTCAGGTGAGTGTCCCATCAAAGGCAAGTGAAAGCCAGGGACCTGCAGAAGGCTGGATTTGAGCTGTACTTTGAGGACTGGCACCTGTGCCTTCACCTCCACAGCAGTAGTAGCTGTTTTTGACTTAAATGGTAGCCTCTGTCAGCCCATCTCTCTTGGTTGAGGGCCAGATCATTCCCTGGGTTTCTCACATTTGTCCAGAAATGAAAGTAGTTCTACACAAAATCATTTTTGGGATGACCTAGAACACTAGAAGAGGCCTCACTAGCAGGATGTACAGTAGTTTTGAGCCCTGGCTTACATGGCTTAGATCAGTCTAATGCTATTGCCCCATATTTGTATGGCAAATAAGTTTTCAGCAATTCTTAAACTACATTAAGAGAATCAAGGGCTGAGCTACCCTACCTAGTCCATCTAAGGAAAGATAATCTTCCCTCTAGAACCATCCATCTGAAAGACTGCTTAGATATTCAGAGATAGCAGGGACATGATAAAGTCATGGTCTCTGAGGTCCAATATAACAAATAGAGATAGTCCCTGAGAAAGATTCAGAAGGAGTCTGAATTGGTAGTTCTCATTTTATTCAAAACCCTCATGTGGACCTTCCCACCATGGCACAGTGGAGTCCGTTACCTAAAGAAGACCTCTCTCAGGTACCTTCTGTCTTTAAGGTTTTGTGATCCTTTGACTTTCAAACACTTACAGATGAGGAGCTATTGCCAACAAGCCTTTCCACCTCAGCCTCACAGGGCTTTGGGATTGTGAGGTGAGGTAGATGGTCATTAAAAGATACCCTGTGGTATCATTCATCAGCTTATTTCTGAGGAAAATGACTTTGTAAAACCCACTCACTCATAACTCAGAGATCATCTGTATGGGGCTTTCCATTTTGATGGATTAGACTATTTGCAGTTACTATAGTTATAACTATAGTAATCTTAGATAATTGCAAGAACATCCCTTAATATGCACTTTAAAGAGTGTAGGTCATACCCGTTACTTCACTATAGAGACTGCACTTGGGTTCAGCTTATTGCATGCCCAGTCTACCTTGGCTTACTTTGATCTGCTAGTAGTAACTGAACATTTTAGCCATTTCTTTCCATAACTTAACAGGGGAGACCATTGCTAACACCTGACTTCCTGATTCCCACAATTGTAGCCTCTTGAGAAACTGCCAAGTTCATGATTGGAGTAGTAAAGGAGGCCTTCTCAGTCCGAGGAAGACACTTTTACAAGGATCAGAATGAGTGAGGCCACTGCTCACATCACAAGTGTTATTCTCCAACTAGCTACCTTCCTCCCCAACCACCCTAACAACCCACATCCTGTGCCGGTCTGTGTGAGCAGGCATGATGAGAAGAAAGAAATGAAACTACAGCCTCCTTCCTCAATTTGAAGACGTTTGAATCATGAGACAGCCATGGGTCCTGAGCTGTAGGCCCCCTTTGCACCTTCTAATCAGCACCTGAATGCCTCTCCATGGGTCAGTTTTCCTCTTAGCTTCCCAGTACCCTGAGTGTCCTCCCCCACGTCCTGCAGCACCAGCTAAAAACCTGCATGGCAATAGAAGAATTCCAGATCTATTGTGGCAATAGGTCAAGGACAAAGGGAAACTACAGAATGTCACTGCAGCAGGTATAAGGACAAGAGCAACCCTTCCGAAAAGAACCTCGGGAAGAGGAAAGTAGCCAGCATAGGTTTGAAGTTATCTGCTGACCACAGATCTCTGCCCCTTATGGTAGTCACCCAGCTGGGCTCACCCCATTTGGGGATCTTTTTAGATTCCAAATTACCATCTTTGAGACACAGGGGTTTTGCCTGAATTACACTTCTGAGATGGTGGCTAACAGGAACTTTGTGATTTCAGGGCAAAGATGGCACTGCAGCAGTACCTGGCGTGATGGGAGCGCCCTGGGCACCTGCAAGCATCCCACATCCTTGTTAAAGGAAGTACAGGAACTAGCCTCATTTGATTCCTTCTATTTGCACAAGTCACCTTGGACTGCAGGGAGCTGTTTTGCAAAAGCAATTTGGTAGGCTTAGATCTCAAATTCATCTTGAGAACATTTTTTTGAGGTAGTAATTTCCTCAGAGGACTATTGTGTTTGTTTTGTTTTTTTCTGAGCTACCTGGACTCTTTATTAGAACAATCAATCATTTTCCTTTGGACCTACAATTTTTTGCCTATGCTGCAGCCACTTTGTGAGTTAGAATGAATGTGTCTCTGCACACAGAGGTGTGTGTGTGTGTGTGTGCGCGTGTGCACGTGGGTCAAAATGAATGGGTGTGTGTGTGAGGGATACCTCAAATTTTTCTTTTCTTATTTTGTGTGAAAATCTCTTTTCTACAGATTTTCCAGGGTTTAAGCATTGCTTGCTGTATAAAAAACTTTACTGAATTATATACAGTTTGAATGAAATGTTATTTTAAAAACAAAACAATTGTTAAGTGTTCCATAAAGGTTATGTTGAATTTTGGTCAGATGAATATTTGTAAGTAAAAAAATATATGCATTTCTGAACCTCAACTTACATAGATTTTCTTTATAAAAAAAAAAAAAACACACAAAAAAAAAAAAGAAAGAAAGAAAAAGAAAAAAGGTTGGCTGTAGTTGGCCTGAATAACAGGCATGATATATGGTGCTGTGCAAAATAGTAAGCTAGCATCTTACTGCCGTCAATATCAGCAGGTACAGAGCCTCTTTTCAGCCTAATTCAATAAGCTCTCAGGCTTCCAAGTCAGATGGACAGGGTGGAGTGGAGTGAGGCAACAAATTCACCATAGGATTTTTGAACTATCAAGGGGAAATAGAACTACTGATAGTGAAAGCCCAGCCCTGACTCTGGCAGGCTACACTTGACCGGAACCGGGCACCAAGAGCCTCCCAACTGCCCTAAATCCTGTCATTGGTGTAGCAATATCTGGCAGGATTTAGAGCCAGTCATGGAACCTTATGCTCAAACTAAAATAGGTCATCACTTTTGGAAACAAAGTCCGATCACCTTGTGCTTCCTGAAACAGTATATATCACTGTGAAACTAAAGAATGCTCTACAGACTCATCTGTAGAAAGAAGCAAAGAACAGGATAGTTTAGAAAGCTGTTTTTCTCTTAGCTATACTCAGCTAATTCTACTAGTCACTCAGGACCGCTATTCAGTGTGCTTTTGTAAAGTGAGATCAAAATTTGAGTGAGACATGTGGCTGAGATCTTTTCCTGCATGAAGCCCAAAGCACTGAAGTTTGAGCGAGGGAAAGGGACTCTCCCCCGAGGATGGAAGATGATGGCTTCTTTTCCAGTGAGTGCTACTTCACCCTTCTGCAGCCCTTAGCTTGGCACCTGGCTCCAGCTTCTGGGTCAGCTTCAAGGTGAACTCAACAGAGGTTGCTCTTGACTGTTGGAGGAACAACCAGCCTTCCTTTCCTTTGCTAAAAGAAGTTCAGAGGCATTGTGGCCCGGAAGCTTGCCATGAGTGTGTGCTACTGGCAGAGCCCCAAGCCTACCAGCCACTCCTGATGGGATTGCTCACAGCGCAGCCACCCCATCAGCAACCTGCACCTTCCTTGGAGGATTTAAATATGTTTGATTGCAAATGAATGTTTTTAAGTGTATTTAATGCAATTTTTCCTGTTCTCAACATGACCACCCAAGATTCAAACACAGAGATTTCCAAGTTGTTTTTTTTCCCCCCACCGAACATCACCAATTTAAAAATCTGTCATGAGAGAGACTTGGGTTTTGTGCAGCCATCAGAGTGCTAGTGTGAGAACACCAGTTTAAAGAAAATGGAGTTTATTGGGAATAAAGCGTTATTTAGGCCCACTCATTGATACTTCTAGTACTGAGAAAAATATTGTTGGTTGGCATTTGTAACACAAAACACTATAGAGTTGGTATTTAAAGGTACCAGGTAAATATTAAAAGAAACCAATAATGAATTGCTGAGACAATCTTGAACCCAGATAGCATTAGAAAGCTGAAAGCCCAATGAAATAACACTTTCACACTTAAACTCTGTGGATAAATCTTGCCTGTGGCTATAAAACAGATAGTCAAAGAAAAAGTGCTTTACTATAATTAACTTTTCTGATTTGAATGAAGGAAAAATGTATTTATTAAAACAGAGCTGTTTGCTGCTTTAGGCAGGTGCAGTGTTCAGTCAGCAAGGAGGTGGGAGGAATGGGGCGTGGCCTGTGTCTCCACCCGAGTCCTTCACTAAGCTTCTCGCTCTCTCTAATACTGCATTCTGTTTCTCCTTTTGTGCCCTGATTGTAACCCAAAATTTATGAACTAGAAAAGAATGTCCAATTTAATAAGTTGCATTTTTTTTCCTTAAGCACTTTATGCAGAACAATACATGTTCTTCTGGTAGTGTTTGGATAATATGATTTTAACACATGCTAATAAAAGCCAAGAAAACAAATCATGGCAACTTCTTAAAAGGAGTCTGTGTTCCGAATGTCTAGAACATTAGGAAACATTAGAAGATAATGTGTACTGGCTTTTGGAACCTATGATTCTTGGTGAACAGGAGGCCGGGAAGTGACTTTGCATTTCAGAGTGGGGGCTGGTGCCCTGTGGTAGTTACAGCTCCCCTACAGGGGCATATGCAACTGTCTGGGAACCTCTCTTCTTGGCCTGAAGGCTAGGAGACATTTTACAGGTGGCCACACCCAGCCACCAGGACCTCCACGGGGTTGTGTCTACTCCCTCCATCCTAGACTCAGGCCCAGAATTTGGCAGGTGACCAGCTGCCCTGTGTATAAGCAGCTGCTCCCCCTCTGCAAGGATGTGCACGTGCTCTTCACATACTGCACACTGCCTTCTTTTCCCCATCTCTAAAATGTAGAGCAGCACCTCCTATCTCTCAGCCTCCCTAGAAACCGAAAGCCAAGGACATCACAGCTACCCCAGAGCATGGGGATGGGCGGGGGCGGGGGAAACGTGGCGAGTGGTGAGGTGGTTGGCAAGCGAGGAATTCTCTTGCCACAGGGCAAACATGAAATGAGACCTGAGAAATGAGGAACTGACCCCAGATTCTGATGAAGAGCCAACAGGAAGAGGTCCAACACTTTCCCACCTGGGATCAGGCTTGTTGTCGCCATAGTCCTGCTCCTTTGTGGATTCATCCTGATTGCTGGGCAGAGAGGCATGCATATGTTTCCAGCCTGACTCCAGTTTTGGTCTATGACCTGGCTTCTGGGGAAACAAAACCCCTGCCCCAAGGGCCACATTATGGCCTATGTTAGCCACCTTTCCTCACTCTATGCAGCCCCTGACTCCTGGCTTTGGCTTTGCTTGGCAGCTGACCCTCTTGCTGAGTGGAGAGCCAGAGCCAGCCCTTAGAAAGGAACCACCCTCTTTATTTCATGGAGTGGCGCCTGCCCCCTACTCTGTCAGGCATTCGAACCCAGAAGCTGAGACGCCTTAATCCCCAAAACAACATCCATCCTGCAGCCCCTGGTTTGCTTCCATTGTAGGAAGCCAGGCCCAGGGTCTCTACCACGGAGTCCCATCCTTAGAGTGGGCTGACGTTTTAGATCCTCAGGAGCCTTCTCTCCTCCAATCCCCACCCCCTGCCCCTATTCCTTCTGCTTTGAACCTTTCAGACTCTGAGAGAAGAAATGCTCTACCAAGTTATAGATGGAAAGGGTATGTCACCACTTCTCCCACTCTAGTGCCCTCTGCCTTCCCCTCTCCCAGACCTACCCCTACAGCCTCAGTTCCCCCACCTATTCTTCCTCTCCCCTACCCTGCTTTCAGAGGCTTTGGTCATACCATTTCTCATCTCTCCAGTGATGGGAGATCTTGGCTTCTCAGTTTCTGGGGAGATCAGATAGCAGTCAGCTGAGTGCACCTCGAAGTAGCTCATTCAGAGCCTGTGCAATACCTGTGGGGGTAGAAGACCAGGCACAGGGGTCTAATGCTCTGCATTGAAGGCACTCACAAAGGGAATAGCACAGGCCCATGGTGACCTAAGTATTTGGAGATCTGGAATAGTGGATTCAATTTTCCTGACATCCTATCAGGGTCCCTCCGAGTACATTGTTTCTCATGGAAGTCAGTACAGATGCTGATGAACACAACAGGCATGCATGTTTGCATCTAGAGGTGACAAAAAGTCATGGGGAATGCAGCCACCCACCGTGTTACAGGCCTTGCTCCCCACTTCACACAGCCTGACTCATGCTTCCATCCCCAGTGCCAGCATAGTGTTGACAGAAAGACTAATGCAGTCATGAAGCGCAGTCTTGTGGGAGCTAACTGCGCATTTAAAGAACTTCAAGTCTTAAGCAGAGTCTTCTGGAGAAAACCAACAAATGAAAGGAAATTGCTAACAATACCTTGGGGAGTGAAAGAACACAACCTTTCCCTCAGAGAGGAAAAAGCAGATGCCAGGGCTTAGTGGATTCAAATAGACCAAAAACAAACTAGCAGGAGGGACTGGCTACCCTTGTTAATATTCACAGGGGTAAGGCATCTGGGTGACTCAGTCGGTTAAGCCTCTGCCTTTCACTGGAGTTGTGATCCTGGGGTCCAGAGACGAAGTCCCGTGTTGGGCTCCCTGCTGAGCAAGGAGCTGCTTCTCCCTCTTCCCCTGTTCCTCCCTTTCCCTCTGCTCCTCCCCCTGCTCATACTTTCTCTGTGTCAAATAAAATTAAAAAAAAAAAAAACCATATTCACAGGGGTAGTAATAGTTAACTTTTTACTGAAAACCTCCTGTGACCCTCAAGGGCACAACCATGGAAGGGTGGCTAACCTAGGTGATTTAGCGGAAGCTGCAGGCAACTTGGCTCCATTGGGAGCTCAGATTTTAAAATTAGGCAATAGCCAGAATCAGAAACCAAAGAGACGGGGGAAAGAAACGTCAAAATCAGATGAATCCTTGTTCCAAATGTAACTCCCAAGCATTATTTTATAAAGATGGCCTGATTCATGGAGAACCTCAGATGGCCAGTTGGGCAGCGTTGCAGGACTGCCCCTGTGACTTGGGTAGGCAGCAGGAAGATTAAAGCCAGTTTCTATCTGCCTCCATGTCCATATGGCTGGAATTGTTCTATCTAATCTATTTGCACTGTTTTCAAGTTCATAATTATCAACTTGAACTCTAAACTTGTTTAATCCATAATGTCAATTTATTATATAGATAACACTGCCCTATGCAGCTCAGCATCCTCTGAGATGACACCATATCACACGAGGGTACAATAACAGATGTCCACTTATTTTTTAAAATCCAAGAGGTAGCAAAAAACAAAAACAAGCTGTATGTTTTATACTGTTTAATAAGTCAGGAAAGAATATACTATTTTTTGTTTTTATCGTTCTTGAGAATTAGCCAAACCAAAAAAGTATTGATGCTGAAAAGAGTTAAGTCCCAATTCTGGAGCTTTCCTACGTGTGGCGGATTCGAGCGTACTGACATTTCATCTCGTGGCCTTGTCCCTGGTCACATGCTCCAGAATTGCAGCCCAGCCTCTCAATCCATGTCCTCAGGGAAGTGACATGCCTCAGTGGGGCCCGCCGCTCCTTGCCCCAGGGCCTGTGGGACAAGAGATGTTTTGCAGGAATTCTGAAACATAACCCTGTGCCTGTCCTCTGTCCCACTCACCATCCACAAAGAAGCAGGAAAAGGGGATCTCACTACATCACAGAAGATGGAGTGAGGGGCCAGGGTGGAAAGGACAGCAGAGAAAGGTCCTACTATATGTGTGTTCAGGACCAGGAATTAAAAATTAGGAGAATGAGGGGCACCTGGCTGGCTTGATTGATGGAGCATGCGACTTGATCTTGGAGTTGTGAGTTCAAGCCCTGTGTTGGGTGTGGAGATTACTTAAAAATAAAACCTTTTTTAAAAAATCAGGAGAGTAATTTGTTGAGGACTCAATATGTGCCAGGCCCCAGGCTAAGAACTTTAATATCCTTTGTCAGCTTCCATCTTCACGGCAGCCCTTGTGAGGAAGTTCACTATTGTGGAGATGTTATTATGGAGCTAATAATGGGTCTGTCATTATCTCCATTTCACAGATTTGGGGCCCAGAAAGGTAAGTAACTTTCCGAGGCTATTCAGCTGATGAATAGCGAAGCCAGGATTCAAACCCAGAATGGGGTTGTCTGCAGTGCCCTTGACCAGTGACCCTTAGCAGAGAACGTGATGGTAAGTTGGAAGCACACTGTGCTCCTGACAAAACTGAGGAGGCATGACACATCAAACAAATGAGGGGAACATAGCGCCCCAGCAAGGCTGCTGCAGAATCATGCTCTCAAGAGGCTGGCATTTATTCCTGGGATGTGTCTGTGCTCAGACCCCCCGCCCCCCAGGAATTGTCCCCTTTGCTCATTATCACCTGGGGCCCAAAAGCCAGGCTTGTGATCTCCCAACACTCTCTGCAATAGCTCCAATGAGTATTTCCCAGCCAGGCCGCTATCCTCCCTTCCCAGACTTGGCCCTCAGTTATACTACTTTTCCAATCCTCCCCTACAAGAATGAAGATGGGCCATGACCCTGGACACAATGAAATGCATGATGGGCTGTCTCTGAGGGTGGGTCCCTAGAGGAAAGCTGGCCCTAATGGTGCCACTGTCACCAGAGTGAGATTTCCTCCCAGCAGGTGAATGGCTTTAGAGAACCACAGCTTGCATTTGCATGTGTCAACCTGGGTCTCTGTGATCCATATAAAGCTACACTTCCCATGATCTCTCTACTCTATACCCCACCCCACCCGGCTTGTCCCTCAGCTGGCAGGAGGCAGCCACAAAGATTCAATGCGGGCCAGCAGGGTCCAGCTCCCGTCCCATCTTCTGTTGCCCTCAGACCACCTACTCTTACTTGGCTGGATTCAGATCTTGAGACTGTGAACATATGAAACATTTACATAAATATGATGGTTAAAACCCAAACATTTGTGCACGAGTATGTTATTACCATTTCAGATCTGTGTGGAGCTTTCACCCAGGAATTCCACCCTCACATGCTTTGCTTTTTCCAGGATCCTCACCCCCGGGCCCCTTCCTCCTCACCTCAGGCTCAAACTGCAGATAGCCAATTCAGTTGCAGGAACATCATGGGCCAGTCCTAGTTCTACGTGTGGAGTAGGGTAAGTCACGTGCACTCTGAACCCCTTGGATTTCTTTCTCACCCAAATTTGGAGATAGAGATGACCTGGCAAACTTTTCCCAAAATGTGGGGGCTGAGGGATAGAAGAGTCACAGCAGGCTCCGGGGCCTTTTGAATAAAACTCCAGGGCCAGCAACCCCACTAAGGGCCTGGTGTGGGGTGTGTGGAAGCACAGAGGAAGTGAGGTAGTGACATCTAGCGTCTAGCTGACTTTGAAGCAAGATTCTAGAAAGCTAGTTACATTTTCCCAGTGGTTTCCACAAGAAAACGCAAAGTAACTTTGCAATGGAAATATGACTCCAAAGTAAGAATGCAGGAAATAAAAAGTATTAAAAAGGAAGATCATTACTCTGGGAAAGCACAGAACAGATCGGATTGCTACCGAAGTTATATAACGGCCCCTCTTTTTCAAATAGGACCTTCCTTACTAGATTGAAGACTTAGTTACCACATAGTTATTATCAGCCCCCCCCAAAAAAACAGATTTAATAAAGGCCAAAACTGCCTTGATGACTTACCCAGAGAAGCTTCTGGAACTTCGTCTGAAAACTTAAAAGTGGGAAAGAGCAATGCCAGTTCTCTGCTGGCGTCATCTCTGTCCTGGCTTCCGTGGACTGCGTTAAAGGGCATTTCTGTGCCGAACTGAGCGCGGAGACTGGGAACATTGGCAAAATGCACAACAAACAATTGTTTCATTTGAAAAGAAACGTTTTGCTCTCTGGCAACCTCTGGCAACATGGTCACCAGCAACCAGCTAGCACAGGCGTTTCTGTGAAACGGCTTTCTCTCCATCGGAAATGCCAAGAACAACAAGGATAGTAGCTGACATCTATTCCATCATGATGGTATTCTGGGCAGGTTGCCGGGTACTTCACATACATGATTCCATTTCATTTGTGCCATAGCTCGGTGAAGGACACTCTGTCATGATTCTCCATTTAAACATGTTTGAGTCATGGTGTAAGCTTGGGAGCTGCCATTTTGTTGATGTCACTACCAGGGACTAGCACCCTGCCAAGAGCTCCATATAGGAGTGCATACTTAAGTCTTCAATAACCCCATAAGATAATACTAATACTGCTAGGGCTTCCTTTGTGTCAAGCACTGTTCCGAGTGCTTCACATACACGTATACTCACACATATATATACACACATACATACATATGCTCATTTAATCATCATATCAATGTCTGAGGCATTGTAGTACCTATTCTTCAGATGAAGAAATTGAAGCACAGAGGGATTCATGCATGGCTCAAGGAAGTGCTCTTAATATTCTGTGGCCTCCCGTGATAGATGTCATAACCCCATTTTACAGATGAGAGAATTGAGGCTCAGAGAAAGGACTTGCCTGAGTATGTGGTAGCCTAGGATCTGAACCCTGGGCTGTCTTAGTAGTCCTCACATATGAATGTTCTGGCCCCCTAAACTGCAAGGTACAACTGCAGTTACTTAGTCCCCAGCTCATTTCTTTTCTATTGGCTGGGGCGCTCTCAGCTTCAAAGGCAAGACACAATGGATTTGGCATTGGCGATGCCAGGCTAAATACAGGACCGAGGCAGCCTAGTGCAGAGTGTAGAACTGGGTGCCCTAGGTGGTGTCAGGACACCCTGAGTGGGAAGAGGGTGGAGAGGGTTGAGTCTACAATGCAGATCCCTAGGCCCTGCCCAGAGTCTCTGACTTGGCAGGCTTTAGTGGGGCCCGGCAATCTGTATTTCCTGGATGAATATTGCATGAGTTTCTGGGACCACACTGCAGAACCCTCTAGCTGTAGGACTGGATCAGAGGGTGAAGACATCAGGGTCTCCTCAAATAGATAACAAAGAGGGATCCCTGGGTGGCGCAGCGGTTTGGCGCCTGCCTTTGGCCCAGGGCGCGATCCTGGAGACCCGGGATCGAATCCCACGTCGGGCTCCCGGTGCATGGAGCCTGCTTCTCCCTCTGCCTATGTCTCTGCCTCTCTCTCTCTCTCTCTCTCTCTCTCTGTGACTATCATAAATAAATAAAAATTAAAAAAAAATAGATAACAAAGAGGCCAGGGGCTGTCCCAATATATATAAAGGGGAGATTCAGGGCTGAATGTAGAGCAGGGCTCTCGGCTTCCTTGGATGCAAGTTTTGTGATAAATGAAAAGACCACAGCTGATGACATCACCTGTCAGGCTGCTCCCTCCTTGCCACATCAGGGTCACAGGGCCCCATGAGCATTCTCCAGGCAGTGATCACGTCCTCAGCGTCCTCAGACCTGGTGAGGATCAGGAGGTGGCTCCGTCCACTGCACATGTGATGTACCAGCTTCTCAAATACCTCCTAGTACAGGGAGAGGTAACTGACCCAGGGTAGGGGTCCTGGGGCCTATAGTGAATCAGTGGGCCTATCCCATCCACAGGAAGGGAGAGGGTCAGTGAGCAGGCTTGCCACCAGCCAGCATGCCCATGAAGGGCCCAGGGGGTGGGGGTGGTGATGACCAGCCACACTCAGAGAACCCAGATAAAGGCTAAGGCAGGAAAATGAAACTTTGGGTTGAATGAGAGATTATAACAAGTTAAATAGGGACGTGTATGGAAATCATGTGGATGCTGGATAACCATGGGGTGGGATTAGCTAAGACTTATTTTTTGCAATGCCTCACAACCTTTCCTGCTGCTTCAAGTAGCAATACTCTGGTTTTCCTTTGGGGAGCAACCCTTCCCATTTCACTTGGCCTAGTCTGGCTGACAACCAGATGCCTCTCCACCCCCTCCACCTCCACCAAACACACACACCTCACCTGAGAGGTGGGGCTACGACCAAGCTAGGTCAACTAGGCCTCCATCCCAAGGAGGAGAGTCAGAAGCAAGTGGAAAGTAGTTGAATCTGAGCTGTCCAACAGCAGTACCTAAAGCGACTGTCCATGGGACTCTGCTCCTAAGATTCCTACAACTGCCCTGGTTCTTCTTCTCCCCAACACCTTCTTGTTCAACTGCTTCAACTCTCTTCTTCAGTTCTAGGAATTATGGGGTATCCTTCCAATAAATCCTTTATGTCATTGCTTAACTTAGAATCAAAATCTCTTCCTTGCAGCCAAAGAACTGTTACCTGATACAGACTATAATCACCATTCCGAGAGCAAATTCATGGCCTTATTGCTGTTCATATTCTCGTTTTTCCTAGTAATCTATTTTCTCCCAAATTAACATCAATCTTTAAATATAATGTTGGAGAAAGAGAAAGAAATGAGAGTGTGTTGGATATATGGAAGCAGATGAGCTGACCTCTCCAGCTCTGTGCTGATAGAAAAGTCGCATTTCTGCCTCTGTCATGGTTCTCTCTTCATTTGTTAAAATGTCAAAACCGGCTTCGTGGATCTGTAAAATATACATATATTGTGAAAGGGTAAATCAAGCCCAAATTCACATTTAAATGTGCTGAACAGTAAAAGATAATGGGAAGGGTAACATTAAAAGCAGCCGAGACCCTCATCCTCATTATATCTGTCCCAAATGGATTGAAAATGTTTAATTTACTTCAGTGGAATTTTGGTTGAAGCTCCTCAGAAGCCTCCATTTCCCACTAGCACACTGTTGTTCGATGCCCCGCCCCTGCTTTTCCACTGGAGGAGACGGGGGCAGTCTGTCAGGCAAGCGTCATCCCTCTTACCTTCATAATAATCTCATCCGTCTTTCCATGGGCCACTGCATCTGGCTTAATGATGGCCAAGGTGCAGGTCTTCCCTGATGAAGCTGCAATAAGCAGAGGGTGGTGCTGTCAGACGCTGGGCTCACAGCACCCATCTCTGAGGCTCTCAGGGGGCCAGCCACAGGGGCCATGCAGCCTCTGCACACAGCTCCTGGGGCTCCCCGCGCTGTGCACTTGGACTGTAGTGGAGGCACAGGTCAGGCTGCAGACCTCAACCTCAACCTGGCTACAAGGGACAGAGACATGCCAGGAACTTGAGCCTGAGAGAAAAGGGGTGGGGGTGGGTGGGCGTGGGCAGGGAGGAGATCAGAGACTACTGAGGAGCAGAACCCCAGCAACAAATAAAAGAGTTGGCTTGGAGTGGGGGAGAGCTGGAGCAGAGGCAACACGGGCCTGGCCTCTCCTGTGCCTTCCGGTCACCTCTCATGATTCTGAGCCTCTCACTGCTGTCCACTGTCTTCTCTCACTCTGCTGGCTCCTTCGCTAAGGCTTCTTTTGAACTTTTCTGGCCTATGGGGAGTTATGATGGCCCCAGGCCCTGAGTCTATCTGACTTTTCAGTACCAGCACATTCTAACAAACTGCAACTACCATCTTCTCTATCTCCACAAATTCTCCTGAAAGAAGACCAGACTGGCCAGCTCATTGTTTGGAACCAACATAGCAGTCATAGCTCCCTGACCAGTGTCCTGATCAGTGTTCATAAGTCCAGTCAGCTGTGGCCATGAGAGAAGTGGCACATGATTATAGTCCCTGTTCAGGCCTGCAGAAGCTGTGGGGGCCTGGTGTTCAGTCCATAAGCCCCTCCCTACTGTACTCCTGCTTGTATGAACTTGGCCTTGGTGAGTTACCTATATTCTCCACAGACTCTGTATCCCGCATAGCCTCTTTTCTGTTCTCAACCTTTGTATCAGTTGTGTGGTAAAGAAACATGATAAAATCTGCATTTGAGGACAGCTTCCTACTCTGGAAATCTCAAAAATGTGTACTGCAAAAATGTGAATCATTTTAAGCAATAAATCTATTCATTTTTCTGTATTATTTCTAACGTCCCATGAACACATAGTCTTTAAGGGACTCTTACAATGTATAAGGGACTCCTTATACATTGACCCATTAATGAGATCCCCTAGAGGTGCAGGGTAGGAGAGAAGAGGCCAGATCAGGGCCCAGAGAATTCCAGCTTGAAAAGGGAGCAAACAAGTAAAGGCCAATGAAGGGGAGGCTGCAGAGAGGCCAGAGAGGTAGAAGGAAAATGAGAAAGGTCATGATATCTCAGAAACGAAAAGAGATGAGGCTTTGGAGAAAGAAGACACCATCGACATCATCCAAGTCCTCAGAGGCTATAGGATATGACCAGACACCGTTTGTTGGCTTGGCACCATGATGATCAGTGGTGCCCCCATGAGCACCAGGGAGGGGCAGACACAGAGGCCAGACTGAAGCAGGTAAGGTGGGAGCCGAAGGTGAGGGGTTGGCCCAAGGACTATGGACGCTCAGGAAGCTCAGGCATGGAGGAGAGGAAGGCTAAGGGCAAGAACAGGCTATTGTGTTATTTTCTAGGTGAAGAGACTTGATTTGAGAGGAGATAATGAAGGAGGGAAGAGGAGATCATCCAAACAAGGAGCTAACAAATGTTTCCTGCAGAAGCCAAAACACTGATATTTTTTCACACTTGAAAAAAAAATTTTTTTTGCTCTCCTGAACTGTACCTCTTGCCTTGTTAGAATCCAACTCAAACAGTCCTTGTTATCCACGCACGAATAAATAGCTTTTTTGCTTCACACAATAATAAACATCGTCCTCCTCTTTCCAACTGGAACCTGAACTGAATGCTGGTTTCCCCTGGAGTCTCCGTTACTGTCATGAGCCACCTTCCCAGCAATGGCCCTTTGAACTTCTGGCTTTCCCTACTGTCAGGTCAAGGTGTTCTTCCATTAGTAAAGGTTCAGGAAGAACTGAGATGCCCAGGAGTATAAAATCGGTGACTTGATACTTGGTGTGGGGCCGTGGGGTAGGAAGGCGTTCAGCAGCACAGCTGACTTTTGGACCCTTCAGAAACAAGGCGCAAAAAGGAAATGAGCTCTTTAGCTCAAATGAAGACTAAGGAAGCACCAGCATCATTACTTGAAATTCCACCTTCCTTTTTATTAAGTGGGGCTTTTCCTGATGTGGGGTACTTGCCTTGAAAGTCATATTTGTCGTACTTGAGCATGATCAGAAAGCTGTGAAAGGTATCTACGATGCCAAGAAAGGGCAGAAGGGAGACTTGACACAAAATGTGTGAAGTCAAGTGATTGGAATCGAAATGTTTCATGGTTCATCTTCCCACGGTTCAGATTGCCCCAAACACTGCTTACTCATATGCTTTGCCTTTTCGTCTTGCTTAGTGGTTCTCTACTCACCCATGTCTTCATCTTCACCATTGTCTTCATCATGGGAGAGGCATCCATCTTCATCAGAGAGAGCCTCGTCTCTAATCTAGTACAAATTAGTCATGAACAAAAAGTAGTTAGCTAATTAAATTACCACAAAGACCTTCCAAAACTGACAGAAGCCAAGAAAAAAAAAAAAAAAAAAGCAAAGACCCAACATGCAGAGCCAAAAAGAAGGCAGTCAAGATCATCAGCCTTGGAAACTTTACAAGACCCTTTTTAGTAGCTGGATGATGGTGGGGGTGAGGGTGTCTGAAGACCAGGAAATCCATGCTGACTTTAAGGTTTAGGTGCTGTCGATTTCCACAAGCATCAAGTAGACAAGGTGAAATAGGGAGTTGGCCAGAAGACAAAGGAAGAACTGACATACAAGGAGATACTAGCACCTGGCTCCCCCCCCCACCTCCCATACAGGGAAGTGGTGAAGACAGACAGCATCTCCCCCTGCAGGAGGCACAAGCATATGTGATCTTTGGGAAAAAAAATAGGATTGATTCTAATCCATTCTATAAACACAGGGCTTTGCTATTTGGAATTGAATATGAAAACTTAAACAACGAACACTGAACAACGTTAAGGCTCACTGGGCGGAAGCTCAAAGCACCAGGAAATGCCTCTCTCTTTATCTGAGGTGGTGTCAGTTTCAATGGCAGCCAAGTTTTTGTGAAAAACTTGTAGTCTGTGTTGTCATGGAAGTAATTTATCAAAAATCACAAGCTATGTTGATCTTATTTCTCGTACAGAGCTTAATTTCTAAATTAAATGAACCCTCAGGGATCACAAAATTTTCAGGAATGGGGGGTGAGGGCAGGTCACCAGGAGAGAGCTCATCCTGAGGCTGACTTCTCCTACCAACTACTTGACTCCATAACTTTATTTTCATTTTTGAACTCATATTATCAGGATTCCAGAAACCCCTGTTAGGAATTGAAGTGGGGGCAGGGTGCCTGGGCGGCTCAGTGCCCTAAGCATCTGCCTTCAGCTCAGGTCATGATCCCAGGGTCTGGGGATCGAGCCCCACATCAGGTTCCCTGTTCAGCAGGGAGCCTGCTTCTCCCCTCCCTCTCCCTCGCCCTTCCCCCTGCTTGTGCTCTGTCACTCTTTCTCTAATAAATAAATAAAATCTTAAGAAAAAAGAAGTGGGGGATGAACGGGAAATGGATAAAAGAAGTTTTTTTTTTATATATTTATTTACTTATTCATGAGAGACACAGAGAGAGAGGCAGAGACACAGGCAGAGGGAGAAGCAGACTCCCTGCAGGGAGCCCGATGTGGGACTCGATCCCAGGACCCTGGAATCACACCCTGAGCCGAAGGCAGCCACTCAACCACCGAGCCACTCAGGCATCCCTGGGTAAAAGAAGTTCAAGTGCTCTGGAGGAAGGGGGTGACTTCTTCAAAGAAGGCTTTAAAATGAACGTATGTCCTGGTAGGCACTGCCTCCCCCTGAGCCCTCAGGGACCCCCAAGTGGGCATTTAATGACACTTATCACTGAGCACTCTGGGAAAAATTAGTGGGGTGGGGAGACACTGAGTTCGCCTCTTGTGGAAGTGCTTCTTACCACTTTCCGTTCGCAGCCTTCAGCCAGCACCTTCTTTTCAGCCTCTAGCTGCTCTCGGATGGTTTTCTGCAGCAGCGGGGCATTGGCTCCTCTAACCACTGCCACCAGCTCTCCACCCTAGAGCACGGAACACATGCCCTACTCAAACCACTTGAACTCATCTCCACAGATCTCCATCTTTCAGGAGACAGTGAGTGTCCGAGAGCTCTGCTTAGGAGTGTGCCCAAGGGCGAGGGCTCATCCACTTCTCTGCCTTCTACCCCATGCCTCGCCTTCCAAAACTTCCTTCAGGGAAACAGGGAGTTAGTTAAGGGAGGAGCCGGGCACGTGAGGTTGAGTGACCAAGCGTGGCCTATATGTGGCTCATCCATGCAACAAATATCTATGGGATGCTTACTCTGCCAAGCACCAAGACCTCAGCAAAGAGTATCAACAGTCAACGTGAAAAGCCATGGTTGTCTGCTTCCGTGAATGGGAAGTCAAGTGGGGAGAGACTTCTGTGGCTGTATCAAAGACACAATTACAATAGAATAAGATCATCACTTTAAGAGGATGCTTGGCATTCGAGGCAAGAATGGCTTCCCAGCTCCAGCGGGGTGATCAGAGGAGACTTCACAGTGGAGGTGGTGTGTGTGGGGGTGACTGAGTCTCCTGCTTTGACCTTTTCTGCAGTCTCTGCCTGACTCACAGAAGTTCATGGAGGGGCGCCTGGGTGGCTCAGTTGGTTAAGCGTCTGCCTTCAGCTCAGGTCATAATCCTAGAGTTCCAGGATCCAGCCCCAAGTCGGGCTCCATGCTCAGCAGGGAGCCTGCCTCTCCCTCTGCCCCTTACCCAGCTCACACTCTCTCACCTACTCCCTCACTCTCAAATAAATAAATAAAATCTTTAAAATAATAATAAGAAGAAGTTCATGGAGAGTGGGCCATCCCACATTTCCACCCACCCAGCAGAGGGTGAGAGGTGGTGAGGGAGCCTGCTGCCTCGGCCCCTGTGATTCACGCCTCAATCACTAAAGGCTCAAGCGGGTGAACCCATGTGACAGCGATGGCATTTCTACACCTCTGCTCCACTGTCACTTTGACTCCTTCCTACTTCTCCCTCCGTCCTCACCCACACTTCAGCATCTAACTTCGGTCGTCTGTCAAGAATCAACACTCAAATAATGTGTACCATCAGCTTCCAATTTGTAAGACTTGCAGTGCCAAGGGCAGGAGCCCGAAGGTTTCCAAACTGCACAACCCGGACCTGGCTGTCAGGAGACGTGGGCGGGTAGGCCTTGTATGCCCCTGACCGTGTGAGGAGGGGGCTGCAGTCAGGGGTAGCATATCCATCAGTTGTCTTCAGAGCCTGGCAGGTGACCTAAGCTAGGAAGCCAGGTGTGAGGCGGTGGGCCCGGAGGGGCATGGGGCCAGAGCATGGATGTCACACCCAAAGACATCTAAGTGATCTTTCTTTTTTTTTTTTTAATTTTCATTTATTTATGATAAGAGAGAGTAAGTGATCTTTCAAAACACTGAGCTACTTGGCTTCCTCAATAGTCCCTTTCATTTCTGAATTCTGTAAACCTACCTTCACATCTTATGATTAAATGAAAGTGAACGTAGAGCTCGTCTACCCCATTAGAGTATGTGTGCTGAGAGCTTCCCTCTACGGAGCAGGGGATAGAAATCTCAAAACCTTGTGCTCAGATTGTGAAACGTCAGTCAGGAGTGTCCATGAGCCGGAAGGAGCATATGCATTTGAGTGACTCCCGTTCTTTCCCATGTACAGCCAGTCAGGAAGGCCGCCGAGCCCAGAGTGGCCACCAGGAGCCGTGTCACCCCCGCCCTCCCCACCAGCGAGCAGTGCCACCATCCTAGGCAGGGACCCGCACCAGCAGGACTTAAGTATGCCTAGCCTCATCCGAAACAACAAATGCGGTCGAGGAGAAAACAATCACGTGTTTGGAGCAGTCAACAGCCAGTCGCCCCTGGGTGACTCTCCGGGAGACGCCTCTGTCGGAACCCTGATGATCTGCAATCGTTCTGGTCCTGAAAATGTACTTACTGCATAAAACAGAAAGGTCGGCTCACACTTCCCTCGGTATTTTTCAAGGACATCAAGATGATCTGCTTCTGCCTAAAGAAAACAAGCTGTTAGGAGAGCCCTGGGGTGCTGGGGACGCAGGGGCATGGCGCCGGGAGAACCACATGGGACAACACACACAGAGACACACACCCTCTACACACACACGTCCCCCCACACATACACATGGCACACGCATACATACCCCCCACATACCCTCTCTCCACACACCCCATGTGTATATACTCACACATACCCCCCACACACATATCCCTCTTATATACGCACTACGCACACCGCCCCATACACACTCATTGACACACTCCTCCCAGCACTCACATCCACACTGTGACTGTCCTTCCCAGATGATGCCCTGGCTGGCTCTCATGCTTTTTCGTCTAATGTCTTGTCAGCAGAATACCTCTCCTGTCAACATATTGATGAAAACTGTGGACAGTGTGCTTTTTTGAAGGATCAGACAAAGAGGACACGAGGGCTTCTCCCCAGCCAGCCACTGCTCCGCAGCCAGGGGCTCCACTGTCTTGACACCCTCCTGCTGCCACAACCACAGAAGTGGCAGGTCCTCGGACTTCGCCTTCCATGTCTGGTAAACCCTGGACAGGGGCAGGCATTTGCGCCACACACTCTCTCCAGAAGTGTCAGAGCTGATTCCCGGTGAAGAAAGTGCCAGGTCCTTGAGAGGTCACTGCAGGTGTATTTCCTCCTGTGTTCCGCCTGTGACCCTCTAATCTGAGCAGCCCACTGAGTGTCCCTCACAGGCTTCTCTGGGATTTGTTCTCATTTCCATGCACCCATCCAAGTAAATATTTTCTACAAGTTCCCCACGACAGCAGAGAATAAAAATCTTGAAGCGCTGTGCTCTGAGAGTAAGACTTCAAAGCCTCGGTGTTCATGAGCCACAAGGAGCACACGTGTTGAGTGACATGCACCCCTTCCCTGTGCACGGGGACAAGAGATGCCTGAGCTCAGCGGGACTGTCGGGGTGGGCGTGGGGGTAGGAATCTCTATCTCCAGAGAGACTATAAAGCATCATGTCTGATGGCCCAAAATTTCACAACCAATGCCTCTTCAATGACCTGGAAAAGGCAGCCCATGCTTCCTGTTCCCGCTTTTTTTTTTCTTGTTCCTGCTTTTAAGTGTTCAATTCTTTTTGCAACATTGTGTGACACTCTGCGGAGAAAGAGGGTCTTACCAATGCAAAATGCAGAAGGTCCAGGCCAACCTCGATCCTCATCTTCTGGAAGAGGCTCACCATGGGTTTGCAGGGGCCGCACCAGCCTTGATAGACGTCGACCACTATGTGAAAGCAAGAAGCAGGACGCTCAGCAGGCACGGACACTCACCACATCAGGCAAAATTCACACCTGCCAACTCGAACACCCCTCCGGCGGACGGCTGCTTGCAGCGTTATTTATGGGTCAAGGGATTTATCATCCCGTTGGAGTAGGAGCCAGCAGGGAGACACAGCTGCCCCTCATTCTTATAAACTCAGTGGTCAGAATTCTGAACATAATGAAGTAAATGTGATAGAAAAGTTTTCTTTTTTTTAAAGATTGTATTTATTTATTCATGAGAGACACTCAGAGAGAGGCAGAGACACAGGCAGAGGGAGAAGCAGGCTCCATGCAGGGAGCTTGATGCGGGACTCGATCCCAGGACCCTGGGATTACACCCTGAGCCCAAGGCAGACGCTCAACTGTTGAGCCACCCAGGCATCCCAGCAAAAGAATTTTCTTAACACAGATGCTTTACCTGAAGTAAATTTTTAGGCTACATTCATGGCCAGGCTGGTACAGATGGCCCTCAATACATATTTGAATTGTACTAGAACTATCTGTTCTAAAAGAAAGAGGTCACCGTAGGTGGCCTGTCAGCATAAAATCAACTCTCAGCTGCTTTGATAATAAACACAGTTTTGACATTTTCCCGATGGGTTAAAAGCCACTTGCCTTGGGTAAAGGAGACTTTTATTTACTCTATAAAATCAACATTGTTCTGACAAGTGTACCTGATACAGACCTTGGTGGAAACTTGGCTACTTTTTTCTTTGTGGGTCCCCATCTATGGAGTGTGCCAGGACTGAGTGTAAGGGAACCCTCTCGTCTGATTGCACGAGGCCACAGGGCCTGGGAGGAAGCTAAGCAAGCTAAGCCAACACTCATGTACCAGATACATACAGGATGTGCCCAGCCCAACACAGCTAGCGCGAGATTGTGTGAAGTTCAAAGAGGTGAAGTAACTAACGAAAGATACAAAAATAAATAAATAAATAAATAAATAAATAAATAAATAAATAAATAAATTCTCAAGTTTTGAATCCAGGTTTGTCTGAGTGCATGCTCTTTCAACTATTCCAGGAAAGAATCAAATGCATGAATTCAGGAGCGCTGGTTAGTCTCAGCCAAGCAGCATAGTTTTTGGAGAGAAAGTAGGAACCAAGTTGGGTATGGGAGGGATGAGGAAGCAAGGCACAGGGGGGCGGTGGGGGTGGGAAGGAAGGAAGGGAGGAAACCACAAGATTTTGAAAAGGAAGGGAAAGACAGGCAGTGAAAGTCACGTGGGTGTGGAAAGGACTCCACCTTGGAGCCTGGCAGAGGAAAAGAACTGGTGGTGGCAAGGAGAGACCATCTGAGGGAAGAAAAGTCAACTAGATTCTAGACATGCTGGGTTTCCAGTTCAAACAAGAGAATCTAAGGCCAGTGGTCTCAGAGGCAACCAGACACCAGCAGGGACAGGAGACAGATTTGAGCCTCTTGTGCAGCCACATGGAGGATAAAGCTCTGAGTTTCTCTGAGGACAACAACACTAGAGGAGGCTGGGGATTTCAGTACATCATAGTAATGGGGGAGGATGGCATTTGGGTCAAGCCAGGAAAAAGTCTTTGAAGACTTAGAGGTCCTATGTTTGGGCCCACCAAGGAAAGCGGGTTCACGTCCCACTGGGGAAAAAAACAGGGCCTAATTAGCTACCAATCTCTCCGCAGGATTTGCACCCATAGTTCAGCTTCCCATCTCCCCTTGTTGCCCCTGGCTCTCTGAGCAGGGGGGGGGGGGGGGACGACAAAGGCATACTTCACAAGGTTATGGGGGAGAGAACAGGGCTGGAGAGGAAGTGTATCAAGCATTTGAAAGACGGGAAGCAAGACAGAGAAGACATCTAGAAGGAAAGAAATGGCAGAGAAAAAGAAAAGGGGTGTGTCCACATGCCTTTGCATGTATAAGTGTAATAGTGTAAATACACACAAGTGCATGTGTGAATCTGGATAGACTTGCACGTTTGAAGGCAGATGAAAATGAGCCAGCAGAAGGCAAGACTTCCAAGATGGTGGTTGACTTTGGAAGCAAATTTCCACTGGTTCTAGAAAGAATGAAGAACCTGTCTTCCTGGAGACGGTTCAATAAAGGGAGGATGAGCCCCTGCTGCCTCCAGCCAACACAATTCCCTGGCACTGCTTAGAGCAGGGCTGACAGTGTCCATACCCAGCAGATGTCAGCTGTGATCTCATAGGGTGCCTGGGACATGGCAAATTCTCAAAAAAAATGTTGAGGTGGTAGTTTTCTTACTACTGTTAAAGAAATAGAAGTAATAGTTGTTTCACCCTAGAGACATGTTCTAGTTGCATGGACAAGACATGCAGACAAAATAGTTGAGACCTGGCACCATCAAAAAAGCTGTGTAATCCCTCAGGTAGTAGAATGTGGCAAGACTCACACCCACACTGCTGGATCAATACAACCAGCATTTATTTAGCACCCACTCTGCCCCAGGCCTGGGCAAGTCTGCTAGAGATAGAGACGAAAAGGACAATACCCCTGTGTTTAGAGGGAAAACCATGAGCGCTCCTCCAGACCGGGGCCACACCAAGCTGGTGTGGGTTAGGGGAGAGGTGTGAGGGAATAAAGAACCCCCCCCCAAATGGCCAGGTGACTCCCAGGGGAAGTGACCATGCAGAGATTCTGGGAAAATGTCATGCAAGGAGACTGCTGCTCTGGAGCTGGGCCTAGGAATGAAGGAGATATCTCCAGCTTATGATGGGGTCATATTTCAGGGAGCAGGGACAACATGGATAAAAGTGAGCAAATGTGGAAACCTGTGGCATGTTCAGGAAACAGATTGGAGCTCAGGACATATCTCAGGGAACAGTGGGTGACAGGGCTAGAAAGACAAACTGAGTCATGAGAGAGGAAAGAGGTAGGGGCCTTGAAAGCTGCAGTCACTGGGTGCGGGTGGTGCTGGGGAGAGAGGAGCAGATACAAGCTGGCTTGGCAGGTGTGTTTATTGGGAGAAGAACTGAGCGGATGCAGAGGGAGAAGGGGAGCCCAGAGACAATGCACAGTGAGTGAAGGAGAGAGAGAGCAGTAGGCGCAGGTGTGGTAGGCAGCCTCTAAGATGCCGGGGACTCCTGCCTCCTGGGCTGTGTGCCTTTGTGTGACCCCTGGCCCTTGAATGCAGCCTGGACCTAGTGACTGGCTTCTAACAAATCGAGTAGGCCAAAGCGATTGGATGTCACTTTTGAGACTCAGTTACATCAAGACTTTGACTTGCATGTCTCTCCCTCCCCCTCTGCCGCTTCCTCTGGGGGAAGAAAGTTACTGTGTTGTAAGCAGCCTTACGGAGATGCTGATAGCAAGGACTTGATGTCTCTGGCCAGTAGCCAGCAGGGCCCTGGGTCCTGCCAACGGCCACATGAATGAAGCTGGAAATGACCTTCTAAGATCTGTCAGAGCCACATGACCAAGCTTAGAAGCAAACTGGACTTCAGTTGAGCTTTGACGTTCCCTGTCTTACTCCTTAACTGCAGCCTGGTGAGAGACCCCAAACCAGAGACACCCCAAACCAGAGGCTAAGCAACACCTGGATTCCAGACCCACAGAAACAGTGGGATGATAAATGTTTGGTTTTTTTAAACTACTACGATTTGGGGTAAATTGTTGCAATAGGTAACAGATAACATACAAGAGAAGAGGGACGAGGAGGCCCACAAGGGACAGGGGCTCTGCTGTATCCGAATGACCACGCAGTCTCCGGTTCCAGCCCCTTGGCACGCCTGGCTCTCCTTCCAGCCTCGGAGTTCCACAAGATCCCCATATCCCTTCCAACATATTCCCCTTTATGCCTCAGGTAGTCAGAGGTTTTCACTCCTTCCCACTAAAACAACCCTTGGGTCCGACAGTCGGCTCCGTAACAAGGGAACCCTGTTACCTACCAGTACTGACTACTTTCCTGAACTGAACTTACTACAGATGTGCACGTCAGATATATACACACACACACACAAAGAAATTACCTGGTTCTTCATTTAATGAAATTCAAGATAATAGGAAAATGGTGCTCATTGCAGCTTTTCTCTTCATGGTTCAAGATGCCATTTAGCAATTTTGAAAAGGATGGATCTAAAAAATTATCTTAAATTACCAGTTAGTCCTTTGGAACTGAGCATTTCCTCCCAAAGCTCCTGGGTGCTGATGTTAACCTAACATCAAAGAACAAAGGGCAAGGATGGGGAAATGATGTAATGCATTTGCTCCAGATACCTACCTACCTCTTGCTACCCCTGTTCCCTCCTTCCCTCCTCCCTCCCTCCCTCCCTCTCTCCCTTGCTCCCTCTCTTCCTCTCTTCCCCCTCCTCCCTCTCTCCCTCCCTTGCTCCCTCTCTCCCTATCTTCCCCCTCCTCCCTCTCTCCCTCCCTTCCTCCCTCTCTGAAATAGGTACAAATACAGCTCAAGCTGTCTTCTCTCCCCAGTCTGCCTTTCTCTTCCTGTCTCTTCTGCCTCCATCCCCAGGAATAACCACTAACCTAAGAAAATCTCAGTCATTTTTTAAAAATAATTTTATCTTGTTGCTTGTCCAAAAAACAATATATAAAGTTGTTTTGTATCCATAAAATGTACATAAATGATATCATACTATAGAGATCTTTTTGCAATTTTTGTTCTCACTCAAATCGAGTTTTGACATTTATCTAGATTCATATACAGAGAGGCATTCATTCATTTTTTTTCTTTTGGTCTTTTTACATATTCTGGAGATATAATTTATGTATAGTGAAAAACACAAAACTAAAGCATTACAGTTCGCCAAGTTCTAGCAAATGCATATACCCAGGTCATCACAGCCCTATCACAACACGGAACTTTCCCATCATCCCTGAAAGTCCCTCTGTCTTCTCCTAGTACACCTGCTCCTCACCCCAGGTGAACACTGATCCACTTATTGTCACACAATAAATATGTCTATTCTTAAACTGTCTATAAATGGAATAGCGCAGCATATATAACTTCTTTGAGAAGTGCCCATTGATCTGTCCATTTTCTTTATTGGATTGTTGGCCTTTTTATTATTAGATTGTAGAGTTTATATATATCACAAAGATGCTCTCCTATTTTCTTCCAGAGTCTTTCTTTACAACTTAAGCTTTCACTTTTAAGTCTGTGAGCCATCTGAAATTAATTTTTGTCTATATTATGAAGGAGGGACTGAGGTTAGTATTATTTCCATGTAGAGGTACAGATGTTTCTGCAAAACTTCTTGAAAAGATTTTCTTCCTCATTAAATTGTTTGGGCACCTTTGTTGAAAACCAGTTGAGTAAATAAGCATGGGTTTATTTTGGACCCTATTCTGTTTCATTGACCTATCTACTATTCTTTCGCTGACACCACATTCTTTTGGTTACTGTAATTTTATATTAAGTCTTGGAGTCAGGCAGGATGGGCTTCCATATTTGTTCTTCTTTTTCAGAATTGTTTGCCTATTCGTGATCCTTTAAATCTCCATATGTAGTTTAAAACCAGCTTGCCAATTTCTACAAAAATTCTCCTGCAGAGATTTTAATTGGGATTGCATTGAATCTATGGATCAATTTGGAAAAAAATGGAATCTTCACAACATTGAGTCTTCCAGTCCATGAACACCATGTTTCTCATCACTTATTCAATCTTCCTTAATTTTTTTTTAATAATTTAAGTTTTATTTTCTTTTTTTTTAATTTTTTTATTTATTTATGATAGTCACAGAGAGAGAGAGAGAGAGGCAGAGACACAGGCAGAGAGAGAAGCAGGCTCCATGCACCGGGAGCCCGATGTGGGATTCGATCCCGGGTCTCCAGGATCGCGCCCTGGGCCAAAGGCAGGCGCCAAACCGCTGCGCCACCCAGGGATCCCTCTTCCTTAATTTTTAAAGCAATGTTTTATGCTTTTTGGTGTATAAGTTTTCCACATATTTTGTTACTTATATCCAAACATCTACACCAGAAATAATAGTTGAATTTATTGCTATTTCTTCACATTTTTCTCTTACCTCTGAAGTATTCTGGTTTCCATCATAAATGAAATTTAAGGAGAAATAGATGTTATACATAGTACATTACTAATAGTGTACATTTTTGCATAGTGTTTTTATTTTGAAACAATTTCAAACTTATAGAATATTTGCAAGTACAGTATAAAGAACTTCTTGAATTTTTTGAAATCATTTAAATTATTAAATAACCTGAATTATTTTGAAATTGTTTGAATTTAAATTACCAATCTGATATTCCATTATCTCTGAACATATTATCCTACATAACCATAATGCAACCATCAAAGTCAGGAAAAACACTAATGTATTATTACTAGGCCACCTTCAGATCCTGTTCAGCTTTTACCATCATCCCAATAATGTCCTGGATAGCAAAGGATCTTGCCAGAATCAGTACTGGATTAGTCTCTTTCAGTCTGGAATAGTTCTTCAGTCTTTCCTTGATTTTCATGACCTCGGGGTCACTTTTGAAGACTATGGGAGGGTTAGTTTGTGGAATGTCCCTCAGTTTGGGTATGTTTGATGTTTCCTGATTAGATTCAGGCTGTGCATCATTGAGTTGGTTGGAACTGGGTTGGCTGGAATATCAGAGAAGAGGAAGAGTGTTCTCTCATTGCAGCCTATCAGGTGACATGCAATTTTGATCTGCTCCTTATTGTTGATGTTCACTTTGATCACTTGATTAAGGTGGTCTGCATCATGAAATTATTCTCTTTCCGTTTGTAATTAGTAAGTTTTGGTGAAGCTAGTTTAAAACTATAAAAAATCAGGGGCTCCTGGATGGCTCAGTGGTTGAGCACCTGCCTTTGGCTCAGGGTGTGATCCTGGGGTCCTAGAATCGAGTCCCACATTGGGCTCCTTGTATGGAGCCTGCTTCTCCCTCTGCCTGTGTCTCTGCCTTTCTCTTTCTGTGTCTCTCATGAATAAATAAATAAAATCTTAAAAAAAATAAAGGAATAAAGACCTTAGGATATCCATATTAAGAATGAGTGATAATTGCCATGGTCTTTTGATTTTTATAGATTTTTTTTAAAAAAAGATTTTATTTATTTATTCATGAGAGACACAGAGAGAGAGAGAGAGAGAGAGAGAGAGAGGCAGAGACACAGGCAGAGGGAGAAGCAGACTCCACTCAGGGAGCCTGACATGGGATTCGATCCCAAGTCTACAGGATCAGGCCCTGGGCTAAAGGCAGCGCTAAACCGCTGAGCACCCGGGCTGCCCTCTTTATTCCTTTAAAGGGGCTGGAAACATAGAACATCTGCAAATCTTCTACTAAAGATTCATCTTTCTAAAGAAATCATATCTTCATACATTTATCTTTTTCCCATGGGAAAAAAAAAAAAGAAAAGTCTTCTGGGTGCTTTGAGTGCTCTAAGAAATTTGGACTAAAGTCAGTTTGGGCTCACAAACATAGTCCTGAAGAAGGTGACGGAGGCTTCAGAAGAGTCCCCGCCCCCACCCTCTCTCATGAGTTGCTGCCAGTGGCTCAGCTGCAGCAACTCTGTGGTACCCCGCTGTCATGGAAGAAGCCACACCAGCAGCAGGACCAGGACTCTGAACATTTGAAGAATGGGGCAGGAGCAGAAGAGTATGGGAAGTGTCTTGATGTCACTAAGCCCTACATTTGGTAGGGAATGAGTGGGGAACGTGTGGCACATTCTGGCCAGATGGTCCCTTGACATCCTGTGATTTCTGTCTCGGTCATAGAAGGAGCCCTAAATAGTCTTACTCAAAGACAGGACAGGGTTCCTGGGCTGGAAAACCCTAGAGCACTTCTTTCAAGGAGCTGACCCGGTAGACTTGTGTAAGGGAATGCTTACACAGATGTCTCCAAGCACACCCACTCATTCTCCTCCTCAAGAAGTGGGAATACTTACTTGGAGTATCACATTGAATTCAGAGCTCTGGGGAATAGCATTTTTTTTTTTGGAAATCACCAAAAAATATCATCCCCAAAGGGGATACAGGGCATAGACGGATGAAAAGATAATTGTATGGGACAAAAATCTTAGAGCCACCACAGAGAGCAATCAGTCCAGCCCTGAAATGCCTAAAGGGGTCTTGTCACAACAACTCTGCAGGCTATGTATCACCTTCCTGTTTACAGAAAGGATATGGAGTCTTAGAGAGGCTGAGGAAATCATTCACAAAGCAGTAAATGGTAGGCCCAGGTGCTCAGAACTTATTTACAGACAGCATGTAGACATATGAAAAGTTTCATAACTCTGGATCACTAGAGCATCAGTGCTGGAAGGCCCCAAGGAACGGTTCACTCATTCTACAGATGGGCAAGCTATATAGCCAGGGAGGCTATGTGATTTATTGCAACTCTCAGAGTGACTAGAAGAGTCAGAACTATGTCAGATCTTCAGACTTTCAATGCAAAGCTCTTCCCACCCCCTCCTAGTACATGCAATCCTTACAATGACATTGCTTTCTCCCTTTTTAAATCATTAGACTTTGGAAATTCACATGGAAAGTGCTCATGCCCCAGAGGACAGAGTCATTTGTTCCAGGTACAGATGAGGTACTCTATACGATGAATGGGTGGCACATAAAACATCAAAACATAAACACTATAAGCCTAAAGGAGCTTACACCCAATTTTATGTTTGCTTATATTTAAGGGCACAAAAAAAGTTGTCACTAGGGAGTCGAGATAAGTTTGTTGGAGTTTTTTTCCCCCCTCTAAGATGGAAGGGTACAATATTCAAGTTTGAGAACACGGTCACTGTACTGCTGGCAACTAATATCACTTTTATAGATTTCTTTCCACTCCTCAACCCCTACCCCCAACCAAGGGCTGGAAGCAAGCGCCCCGGAAGGCTTACCTGCAGGGCTATTTCCTTCTTCTTGCTGCCCATGGCTCTGCAAAAGAAGGTAGAAGCTCTGTTACTTCGGGCTCTGGCTCGGCTTGAGGACAAACCGCTGCGAAGACCAAACCCAGAGCCTCCTGCAGACAAAGCCTCCGTCCCTTTAAGGTAACTGTAAGTGACAGCAAAGCAATGCCCTGTTGCGAAATGAACACCCCCCGGGGCGGGGGGGGGGAGCGGAGCCTGCAGCCCTCAGGGTCGTGGCTCGCCAGCTAGTTTTCTGCAAAGCCCCTTCCCAGGATGGGGGGGGCGGCGGGGAGCCCGGCGAGGCAGCCCTTCAGGCATCGGAGCGCTCGCCGAGGAATTCGGGAGGAAGAGGCCCCCGAACCCTGTTATCCCTACTGTTGCAATATAGTCCTGGGAAACTGAGCCACCGCGAAGGACCTCTCGACAGGTACGCGGTCCTCCAGGTGCCGCGAGTTCCCAGCTGGTCTGCAGCGACCCGGCCACAGTCGCGGGGGCAGCTCCGCGCGGCCCGAGTCGCCCGGGTAACAAGCCACGCCCACCGGGGCCCCGCAGAAAGGCGGAGGGAGGCCGGCCCCCTCGGGATCCGAATTGGCCCGAGGGACGCTCTCATTGGCTGATGCGGTGTCAGCGTCGGGGGGTTTGGCTTCACCCAGCAGAGACCCTGTGCGCTCTGGGGCTGCACAGTCGCGTCCCCGGAGGCCTGCACACCTGCTGCCCAGCCAGAGCAGCTGTCAGCCTCTCTATTGTTACTTACTGCCACGCAGGGGCGGCTCCAGGTTCGGAGGGATCTGAAGGGATTCCCTTCAACAAAGAATGCAAAATTACAAAGTCAAAATTATGCTTGAAAGTCAAGTGGAGCAAATAGAAAACGGTTACAAACGCGGCGTGAATAGTCCATACCAATTATAGGAGTCAACGGATTAAAAAAAAAAAGGCCCAACCATGTATTGTCTATAAGAAATTCACTTTATTTTTTAAGTTTTATTTATTTAAGTAATCTTTACCCTCAATGTGGGACTCAAACTCACAGCCCCAAGGTTAAGAATTGCATGCTTTTCAGACTGAGCCAGCCAGGTGCCCAAAGAAATTCACTTTAAAATTAAAGACAGGGCAGCCCTGGTGGCTCAGCGGTTTAGCACCGCCTTCAGCCCAGGGTGTGATCCTGGAGACCTGGAATCGAGTCCCACATCGGGCTCCCTGCATGGAGCCTGCTTCTCCCTCTGCCTGTGTCTCTGTGTCTCTCTCTCTCTCTCTCTCTCTGTCTCTCATGAATAAATAAATGACTCAGAGCGTGATCCAGCGGTCCAGGATTGAGTCCCGCATCCATCTCCTTGCAGGGACCCTGCTTCTCCCTCTGCCTATGTCTGCCTCTCTCTCTCTGTTTCTCATGAATAAATAAATAAAATTTAAAATATAAATATAAAGACACAGATAAGTTAAAAGTAAAGGAGTGGAGAAAGCTATGCCTGTGCTAACACTAATCAAAAGAAAAGTTATTAACTTCAAGCAAAGCAGACATCAGAACAAGGAAATTTATCAGGAATAAAGAGAGAACAATACATAATGTAAGGGAGTTGGTTTCCCAGGAAGACATGACAATCCTTAATGTGTATGCACCTAACAAGAGATCATCAAAATGCATGAAACAAAAAATGTATGGAACTGTAAGAAAAAAACAGATGAGCCCACAAGTATAACCCAGATGAACCTACAAGTATAACTGATAACTTCAACACCATTTTAAAATAATGACTAAATCCAGCAGGCAAATCCAGCAAGGATATAGTTGAACTGAGCAAGAACATCAGTCAACCTGATCTGACATTTAGACAATACTTTATCCAACGACAGCAAAATACAGATTATTCTCAAGTTCACATGGAATATTCACGATGACAAACCACACTTCAAGTCATACAACATACCTTAACAAATTGAAGAGAACAGAAATTATACAGAGTCTGTTCTTAGACCACAGTAGAATTAAACTAGAAATAAGTACCAGCTGATATAAGAAATCAAAAAGAGGGCAGCCTGGGTGGCTCAGCGGTTTAGTGCCGCCTTCGGCCCAGGGCATGATCCTGGAGACCCGGGATCGAGTCCCATGTCAGGCTCCCCGCATGGAGCCTGCTTCTCTTTCTGCCTCTCTCTCTCTCTCTCTCTCTCTCTCTCTGTGTGTGTGTGTGTGTGTGTGTCTCATGAATAAATAAATAAAATCTTAAAAAAAATAAGAATGTACTACATCATTAAAAAAATCAAAAAGATTTAAATAAGTGAAGAGCTATTCCATGTTTGCGAATAGGAAAAATCAATCTTCTTAAGATGTCAACCACTCCCAATGTGATGTATACATTAAGCACAATTTTGGTCAAAATCCTAGTAAGCTATTTTGTGGATAACAATAAATTTATTCCAGAGTTTATATAAAAAGATAAAGAGACCCAGAATAGCCAACGTAATACTGGAGAAGATTAACAAAGTTGGAGAACTGGCACGACTGAACTTCAAGACTTATTATAAGCAACACAGCATGATATTAGTGAAGGAATAGATTCATAGATCAGTGAAACAGAATAGAGCCCAGAAACAGACCCATATAAATGTGGTCAACTCATCTTTGACAAAGGCCCAAAGGAAAGTCAATGGAGAAAGGATAGTCTTTTCAAAAAATAGTGTTGGGACTGGACTACTGGCTCTGGACACAGACCTTACACCTTTTACAAAAATTAACTCAAAATGGATCATAGACATAAGTGTAAAATGCAAAACGGTAAAACTTCTAGAAGGAAATACAGTAAAAAAGCTAGGTGATCTCGAATTTGGCATTTTAGACATGACACCAAAAGCATGATCCATGAAAGAAAAAGTATAACTTGGACTTCATTAAAATTAACAACTTCATCAACTATACTCAAATTTGAAATTTTTTTTAAAGATTTATTTATTTATGATAGACATAGAGAGAGAGAGAGAGACAGAGACACAGGAGGAGGGAGAAGCAGGCCCATGCTGGGAGACCGATGCAGGACTTGATCCCGGGACTCCAGGATCGCGCCCCGGGCCAAAGGCAGAGCCAAACCACTAAGCCACCCAGGGATCTCCAAATATGAATTTTTTTATTTTTATTTATTTTTATTTTTTATTTTTTTAAAGACCTTTATTTTATTTACTCATGAGAGATACAGAGCGAGAGAGAGAGGCAGAGACACAGGCAGAGGGAGAAGCAGGCTCCACGCAGGGAGCCCGATGTGGGACTCGATCCACGGTCTCCAGGATCACACCCCGGGCTGCAGGCGGCACTAAACCGCTGAGCCACCGAGGCTGCCCTGAATTTTTTTTTAAATAGGTAAACAAAATTTTAAATGTGTGCTCTGCAAAAGACTGTTAAGATAATTAAATAGAAATGCCATAAGCAAAAAAAAAAAAAAAAAAAAAAAAGAAACGCCATAAGCTGGGAGAAGGTATTTGCAAAACATATCTGAAAGAAGACTGTTATCCAAAACACACAAAATTCAGCAATAAGAAAACAAACAACCCAATTAAAAAATAGGCAAAAGATCTGAACAGATACCTCACCAAAGAAGATACACAGATGAAAAGTAAATAAATGAAAAAAACCTCAACTTCATTTGTCTTTAGGGATTACAAATTAAAGCAGTAATGAGATCCTTCTACACGCCCATTAAAATGGCTCAAACTCCCAAAATTGACAATATTGATTCACAAAAGTTGGTGAAGAGCACCAGAGCAATAGACACCCTCATTTATCGCTGGTGGGAATGCAAAATGACATACAGCCACTTTGGAAGACAGTTTGGCAGTTTTTTACAAGCTAAATATAGTCTTACTATATGATCCAGCAATGATGCTCCTATATGTTTATTCGATTGATTGGAAAACTTAGGTGTACATAAAACCCTCTATGTAATGTTTATAGCAGCTTTTTTCACAATTTGGAAATAATGAAGATGTTCTAAATAGGTGAACAAATAAGCAAACTGAGCCACATCCATACAGCAGTGTCTGTAAGACACTGCATTGCAGATTGGGTCTACTAAATGCAACTGATGCTTTGTTGCCACGGGGTGGTGGTTACTCAAGCTCTTGAATGGTTTGAAATTTCCCTTAGAACTTCATTTCCAAAATAACATTCAAATCAAGTATTAAATTCTGCCAGGACACTGAAAGATGCTTTGTGTTCTTTTTGGAAGAGTTCGATTTCTGGTTGTCTCTACTATAGAATGTAGTCACATCTTTGCCAAGTTAAACCACAGAACAAACTTGAGGCAACCACGTCTTTACACCCTGACTTTATACCTGTTGTCCTGTGCAATTATTTATAGCAGCCCTTTTTGCTTTCAAAAGTGTACAGTTTGGGCAATATGGAGCCTCCTCAATTTTTCCCAAATGGATCACCCCCGCTTTTGACATCTTGATTTAATGAAAGTTCAATCTTTCACATATTTTATGATATCCATCAGTGACTGGATTGTGTTGCCCAAAAGTCCTCCCCTAGGGAAGGTGCTTTGTTTGTTTTGCTTTGTTTAATGCAAAAACTTCTAACATCAGGGGTTGCTGCTGTGTTATGGTGTCTGAAAGACTGAAAAAACAAACAAAAATAATTCTTTCCCTTGCAAGTTATGTTTATTGCCACAAGATGATGGTTTACTCAAGGGAAACCCTTCTGTGATCCAAATTGGATGCCAGGAGCATTTTCTTTATTTAAACACTTAGAATTGTGTCGTGACTGTGTGAAACAAGAATGAACTTACGTACTTTAAGAGCAAATCACAAAACCAAATAGCTTCCAGTTTTTTATGTTAGCTGATAAGAATGTATACATATTGACACCTCTCTGCTTCCAGATCTTACGGTTTCTTTTTCCATAGATACTAGCATGTCCCTACTGTGACTGGCTCTGAGGAAGGCACCTAGGAGTAGTCGAACCAGGAGCATTAGAATCTCACAGACGTGGTTTGGGTACTTGGACCTACCAGCCACCAGCTGTGTGAGCTCAGGTACACTACTTCACCTTCCTCAGACTCAGTTTCCCAGTCTTTAAAATGGGGAGTATAGCAACTACGTTTCAGGAATGTTGTGGACAGAGACAATGTCTTCCAAATTTTCTTGATAATCAGGCCATTTTTGCTGCCATGTTGAGGTGTCATCCTCTCTTCACAGCTTAGGCTGGGAGGCAGCTTCCTGGCACGGTTCACAGTGGCCACCCCCAGCACTGGCAGCCAGATGGAGCCATTTGATTAGTTTTCCTCAATCAGGGTGGCATTGATAAGCATTGCCTCTGAACCTCCCCCCACACACACACACTGCCCCCATCTGTGAACTCAGCGTTACCAGGATGGCTTTAATGACCAGAGATGTTTTTAATTTGATGAAAGTTGTCAGTTTTTA